CATATGAAAATACCACTGCAATTCTTTGCTGCACTTACATTTAAAAACATAGAAACCCCTAAAAGCTTATATCTGTGACCTATTGGCGCATGTAAGATCGAAGCTGATAGCTTATCTAATCCTTCTAAAAATTCAAAATAACCAAAATTTATGGGTGCGAATAAAAGTCAGGTAGACTTCCGCTGAGCCCCGATAAGGCAGTCTTATAAAGGGGGTGTTTGGGTCATTGCTCGCCAGTTGTTGATTGACCAACATGAAGGTGATTGTGTTCCTAGCCTGCCTGGCAGTGGCCTCCGCCAGTGTCATCCCCGCCGAGCCCTCGAAGGCGGTGGCCGTGAAGGACATGCCCCGCGCCGGAAAGATCGAGGGTCGCATCACCAACGGCTACCCAGCCTACGAGGGCAAGGTGCCCTACATTGTGGGCCTGAGCTTCAACGACGGAGGATACTGGTGCAGTGGCTCCATCATCGGCAACACCTGGGTCCTGACCGCCGCCCACTGCACGAACAGCGCCAGCCATGTGCTCATCTACTTCGGAGCCAGCTTCCGCCACGAGGCCCAGTACACCCACTGGGTGAGCCGCAGCGACATGATCCAGCACCCCGACTGGAACGACTACCTGAACAACGACATCGCCCTGATCCGCATCCCCCACGTGGACTTCTGGAGCCTGGTCAACAAGGTGGAGCTGCCCAGCTACAACGATCGCTACAACAGCTTCTCCGGCTGGTGGGCAGTGGCCTCCGGCTGGGGTCGGACCGACAACGACAGCGGCCTGTCCAATTACCTGAACTGCGTGGACGTCCAGATCCTGGACAACAACGACTGCCGCAACTACTACGGCGGCAACTACGTCACGGACAACACCATCTGCATCAACACCGACGGCGGCAAGTCCTCCTGCAGCGGCGACTCCGGCGGTCCTCTGGTCCTGCACGAGGGCAACCGCATCGTGGGCATCGTGTCCTTCGGCAGCGGTGAGGGATGCACCGCCGGCAGGCCCGCTGGCTTCACCCGCGTCACCGGATACCTTGACTGGATCCGCGACCACACAGGCATTTCCTACTAAAAACTCCAGTTAAATAAAGCAATCAAGAGAAATTGAAAACTCCTGTTGTATTTATTGCATAAAATCTGAAAGAACTACAAAGGTTTAGTTTTTGCTGATCTCAGATATAATCTATGTGTTCTTTTATTTTTTACTACGGTAAAGGAAAATGTTATGTAGTTGTATTCAAAGAAAGTACTGCCGGAAGTAATTTTGTAACAGCAAGAGGGAATACTAAAGTATTGCAAGTTCTTGGAGTTAAGATCACAGATTAGAAAGCCGTAATATGAAATCAGTTCTTTGTTAATGGTACCCGATAAGAAAGCCCCTTAAGTTCAAAGCGATAGGTTGGTCTTAAGTACCGAAAGTAAAACTAAATATATGACCATGCTTAAAACGGATTGTTTACGAGCCGTGATCTTACACTTTTCATAGCACGCCACGACCTATTCAAAATGAACATAATTTAAAGCAAAAATGTTTTTCGATCTTAATATTTGATATTTTAAAACAATTAAGTACAAATTTGTCATTAGCTTCGTTACACAATTTTTTAAAGGTAGAAATCTTAAAGGGGATTCCCGTTAGTCGTAATCTTTGAGTCTTTAATGTTGTAATTAATTGTATTCTGAGAAAAGAAGCAATCTCTTAATGGCTATTTATTTAATGTAACCTTCTGAAACTGCAGTGGGTTAATCGCAAATTGCAATTCCTAGTTGCTAAATTGGACCAACAAAATCAATACCAATAGCGAGGGCCGTAAAAATGGCCAATAAATTACGGGGACGTAAAACAAAACAAAAACTGTTTAAACAATTTACTTGAGAAATGAGTTTTCAGCCCGGCTCTTGGCCAAGGAACCGAGGAGCTGGATGGGGAGGAGCAAAAAAGCAGGTGGAGGAACAGCAGGCAGCCCGAAAATCAATTCGCTCAGCCATTTGCCCGGCCCAGCGAGTAATTTCTCAATTTTTGGCCATGCGATGTGGTGCTTCTGTTGTCTTCCCATCCCGGTGGCCTCCTGGTTAATTTGGTTCCACAGCCGCGATGCCAAAGTGGGGCACTGATGGGGGTGTAAAGTGGCGGATAGTCCACATAGCCATCTGCCATGGCCTGACTATTTATAAGCTGCCGGCATGAAGACGCTGTGCTCCTTGGCTCGCATTTCCGACCACCGCGCTCCTTTTGTTCGAGGATTGCAATAAATCGAGTGACTTGGAGGTACGTTCGAGTTAAGTGCCTGGATGGAAAACTATCCCGCCGTTTTAGTTCGAGATGGCACGGATAAATAGCGGATATATAAGATGTACGATAGCGGATAGCGTTTGTAAATGATAAGAGTTCCAAAGAATTTATAAGGGGCTACTGCTCTAAGGAGCGAAAATCTATTATTTTTCCTAAGGAGGGGAAATGCTACTTAAGACCAATCTCTGCGAAAGTGCGGTTGTTGTTCCTTCATAGTAAGGGGTACTTCCATAAAGATTACAAAATTATAAGACGTTCTTTATTTCATTTAAGTTTTAGATTTGCACAGTGGTGTTTCGGCTCATTGCGCCTGCATCGTGATGCCCAGTCCCCTGATCTTCTCATCGAGCCAGTGGCGCAGGTGGGGCACATTGGCGTACACGGCGGGAACATCCTCGACGCCGCACTCGACGCCCCAGGACACGATGCCCACCAGCTGGTAGCGATCCCTCTCGCCGGGCATGGTGCAGAAAAGAGGTGATCCGCCGTCGCCCTTGCAGGTGTCCTTGCCATCTCCGCCGGCGCAGATGAAGCTGGGCCGCAGCCGGAAGCGAGCCTCCAGGCGCGTGTTCCTCAGCCTCGCCTGGCACTCCTCGTGCTCCACCAGCGGCAGGTTGAGCCGCTTGAGCACGTTCTCCAGCTTGTCGCTGCCCGCCTCCTTGGCCCCCCAGCCCGTGGAGAAACAGTTGGACGAGAGCATCTGGTTGATCACCTCCGGCGATTCCGGCGGCGGCAGGCACAGCGGCTGGATGTGCGGAGCCAACTTGATGGGCTCGTCCAGGAGCAGCAAGGCAATGTCGTTGTACAGGGATTGCGGGTGGAATTCCGAGTGCATGATGATCTCCTTGATGCGGCTGCCCTGGTGCGGGTACGGCTCGTTGAGGCTGTTCAGATCCCAGTCCCCGGCCCTGGCCACCAGGGTGTCCACCGTATCGTTGACCAGGTTGTGTGACGAGGTCACGACCAGCCGCGGATGGATCAGGGTGCCGCCGCAGAGGAACGACTGCCGCCCGGTGAAGATGCCCACCATCCAAGGGAACTCGCCGAATATGGAGACGTCCTCCGTGTAGTTGAACTTGTCGTTGTCGGGGATCAGGCCCTGGGGATTGCTGTAGCCGCAGTTCTTGTACTTGAAGTTAGCCTGCTTCTCCACATACGGACTGTTAGATTCGTCCACCTGGAATGTTGCAAGAGGTTAATAGGGATTTGAATGCGAAACTACGCGTCTTTATCAGTGTACTTATACTGATAGCCCACCTGTTGGTCCACAGCGCAACAGCGGTATAGGGACTTGCTGCACTGAATCGTGCTGATCCTGGGATTGATCAGGCTCACCCCGGAGTCGTTGATAACATTGTCGCGACACAGCCTCCTGGGTACGCACTCCATATTCAGGCCGCAACTCTCGTTCGGCGGCGGCTCCAAGATGTGGGAGGCCTTATCTCGGATCGAGGAGGAGACGGCCCGGGACTTTGAGCTCTGCGATCTGTCCCAGCTCTCCAACTGGGCCTTTTCGCAGCAGACCCTTTGGGTGCCGCAGTAGCGGGAGCTGCGCGGACCAATACCCATGCGACCGGAGTCGTCCGAGTCCTCGCACCGCTTCACCGTGGTGCACAGCTCGTCCGTGCGGCACATCGCCGAAATCGTGTCCTGGGCCTCGGATCCCGGGCTAAGGGCCAGCAGGAGGAGCACCGCCGAGATCAGCCAGATCGTCATCGCTGTTGGGGAACTGCCAGAGCAAAGATCAGATGAAACCGAGAACAACAAAGATAAGAATAAGTTTAATCACAAACAATGCACAATGGAGGTTATCATGCCCCATTGAAATGCATTCATGTGCAAAACAAAACAGGAAAATCGCGGTCCCTTAGAATCCTCCTAAACAGACTTTAATTTTAATTAATAAAAACTTATCTTTCAAATTAATGAATTACGTTGAAATTTTATACATTATTTTCTTGGAAGGTGTCACAAACACGTTTTAGAAACCAGCTCTAAACTTATTACCTAAGTAAAGCTATTATGCACATTTATAAATTAAGGTAAACAAATATTTCAAAAGACAATAATTCTGATCGTTTCTGATCTGCAAAGTCAATAAAATGCTCGCTTAATGCTTTTACTATATACCCATTTAAAAAACCACTAGGTAAACACTTTGCTTTTATAACAATAATAATTAACTGTCACTCAATGCCTTGTATTCACAAACACTTTTTCATTAACGTCTTGAAACGGAACTGAAATTAACATTTTTTTATATGTACTTTGAAAACCAATTCCATCGTTTTTCATTGAAACTGTGTTATTATCAGCTACTGCCTTCGGGCTATATTTATAGATTACAACTAATGCACTTATGTATGCGGATATGTCGACGTATATATTTGCATTATATACCTATGTATATGGAGATTAATAAGTGTAGATGTCCCGATCTAAAGGCAATCTTACAGCTTGTGATTCACAAAGTCGACTGAACGGCTAGAGTTAGATTTAAAACATTTATAGAACTTGCTTGGGAGATTCTGAGAAGCGCAGATTAGAAGAGAATTGAACGGAGAGAAAGAGAGAGGCTTACAAAGAAAGCGAATAAGTACGGCTTTTCCCAACCCCACATGTCTTTCCTCTTATCGACTGATTTATTCACCAAACCTGTGTTAATGGGATATTTTCTGAAATGACCCTGAAGGCAAAATAAAACTCCACCTTTTATTTTTTTTTTAATGCAAAAATGTATGTATTTTAATTATTTATTGTTATTCAATATTGATACTCATTTTCCATATACCTAAGACTCGCCTTGATATGATATAGACTCCACCTGCGAGGACTCAAAAAGTTATTAAAGTGTCTATAAGTAATATGTTATTCGGTGTACACACTTGATCCACTGAACAACAGCGCTGAAGGCCTGCGCATCCGCTATCCGTGTTGCTGATCCTTGGCACGAGCAACTCGAATCCGGGATCCTTGAGTAAGCCTTCGTTGCACAGCATTCTAGGCACGCACATCTTTCCAGCACCGCAGCTCTTCAATCCTTTTCCTGGTTCTGCGGCCTCTAATTGCGGAGGAAGGATCAGCAGAAGAAAGCAGGCTGTGATCAGCCAGCTCCATCTGATCAGTAAACGACTCATCGCGGCTTTTCGGAAAGGATGAATTCGTTTAATAATACATAGTGGGTTTTTTTTACAAAGCTATATTTGTCAATATATATGTAACCGTGATTTTGATTGAAACCGTATGTAGTACTTATACATATATTGGGAGTCGGAAAATTTAAAAGCGCCATTTTTTCCAATTTAGTCGAAAGCAAAACTACAAACAATTTTAAAATCGAAAATTTGATATGTTTAAACCGTCGTCTTTATTGAGATTCTTATTGTAATAATAATAGCCTTGCTTATATACCAGATAGTTTAGTGTTATACATATCACCGATCCAAAGACAATCTGATAGCTTGGGGTTTACAAAGTCGACTGAACGTCTAGAGTTGAATTCAAAGTATTTATGTATAGAACCGGCTTGCCAGTTTCTGAGAACTGCACATCGAAAGAGAATCCAAAAATCTAATTTAGTGAGAGCTAAATTATTGGGAGCAATTATACGACTTTTTATTAATCTCCGTAGAGCAGAGTTTCTCGATCCGAAAATACAGTCGATTGTTCCGAGGGCGCAGTCAGTCGAAAACGTGTCGCGGCTCTTGAACGTAATTCAGAAAGTGTATTGCGCATTGATCTGCTTGAAATTGTTAGGGGTGATTCGGATTTATTCTGATTTCTCGGCGATTGTGTGTTTATTTTTGTTTGGCGCAGTTGAACTGTGTGAATGCGTGCGGTTTTTTCCCATTCCAGCCGTTGCTATGAATGCGGATTTTGTGCTACTGATCAGTCTGGCACTGATTTCCCACATACCGGTGGGTCTTTCGGCCACCTGCGAGAGCAACGAGATCTGCATTAGCAAAAAACGGTGCGATGAGACGGATGACTCCGGCAGGGGAATACTGGTCAAGCGTGTACTCGAAAAAAGCTGCGGCCGCGGACTAGTTTGCTGCGATAAGGTGCAGGTGGAGAACTACGACGCCTATGAGGCCGAAATCGAGTACCGGAACCAGCGCCGGGGAAATCCCTGGGGCTCTTCGGAAAGTCCTTTGGAAGCCGCAGCGAAAGAGGAACCAACGGTGGCCAAGAAGGAGGAAGAGGGTTACAAAAGTTGTGGCGTGAAGCGGGAGTGTGTGCCCCGCCACCTCTGCACCACCGGAGTGGTCAACGAGGACGGTCGGTACATCATCAAGCCCCGGATAAATGACGACAGCAACTTCGGCTGCCGATCCGTGGAGCAGTGCTGTCCGCTAGACGATCGGGTGAGAGGTTATATTGGATACCGAAAAACCCAAAACCCCTACTTAGGCATTGCCGAATTAAATAGCTATAACTAGTGCTAACTATCTGTAATGCAAGATAGTATTGAAACATAAAGGGAGTTTACATATATATCTCTATACTATTTGTGATCTGCCTGTAGTAGAAACTAAGGTCATTTGGAGAATCAAGTCCAATTCACTAACGCTGATAATTATAGTTTTTGATTAGGTTTGAAGAAATGTGGAATTAGTGTGCACCGTTGTGTTTCATTGCTTATAAATAAAGTTAAGCCTATCTTAAAAACCGTAAAAGCAATTAATTTATTAAAACTTTTTTCGCATTTACTCCAATTGCATTTCGTAAACTTGAATCCATAAAATAATCAAGGTGGAATTTTTAAAGATTGTCTTCTTTTTGGGAACTTTATGTTCGCCGTTTATAGCGAATAAAATAATCAAGGCGGAATTTCCAAAACTTGTATGACCATATATGTAGGTTTAAAATTAAAAGACTCGATGTGATTGTGATAACTTATAAAATAAACAGTAAGGAATTTCTAAAACTTGTATGTTATGTGAAATAGTTCGAGTATATATTTGTGTAGTCTTGTTTTTTATACTTTTTCGCTGATTTCGTGGCTGTTTAACCTTATTCAACCTCATTTAAAATCTTTTATGTTGATTGTCTAAAATGTTTTTTTAAATCTACTCAACATTTTAACATATCTCTTTTATTTACCCGTTTCAGATCGAGGAGGGTCACAATCCCATGCAGCGCAACGTGAAGGACTTCCAGCCCAAGGGCTGCGGCTACAGCAATACCAACGGGCTGTTCTACCAGCTGGATGGGTATAGCGGTGGGGAGTCCGTCTTCGCCGAGTTCCCCTGGATGGTGGTCCTTATGGACTTGGCCGGCAAGTACATCTGCGGCGGCGCCCTGATCCACCCGCAGCTGGTGCTGACCAGTGCCCACAACGTGGCCAATTACAGTGAAGACACGATGGTGGTTCGGGCTGGCGAGTGGGATCTCAACAGCCAGACGGAGGTGCTTCCCCACCAGATGCGCCCGATCAGCGAGCTGCATCGCCACGAAGATTTCAACAAACTGACCATTTACAACGACATTGCGTTGGTGGTGCTGGACCAACCGTTACAGCTGGCGCCGCACATCCAGCCTATCTGCCTGCCGCCGTCGGAGACGCCTCAGCTGGAGGAGGACCTGCAGAATGCCCACTGCCTGGCCACTGGATGGGGGCACAAGACCTTCACGTCCCTCAAAATGGAAAACCTTCTAAAGCGAATCGAGCTTCCGATGGTGGACCACAAATCCTGCCAGCGGCTGTTGCGCAGGACGATCCTCGGGCGTCATTATAATCTCCATGCGAGCTTCATTTGTGCCGGCGGGGAGGAGGGCAAGGACACCTGCAACTACGACGGAGGTTCTCCATTGTTTTGCACAATGCCCGGACAAAAGGATCGCTACCAGCTGGTGGGCATCGTATCCTGGGGCATCGAGTGTGGCGAGAAGGATGTGCCCGCGGCCTACACGAATGTGGCCTACCTGAGGAACTGGATCGATCGACAGGTGGTGAAGAGTGGGTTCCCATTGATTGAGATCCCTTAGGTTAGGTAGCACTAGGCTTTAAAATAAATCTCAAATAAAATTAATGTAGACAACTTCGCAATGCTACTTAACGGCTTTTGAAATGAAAATGCATTGGGTTTCTTACAAAATAATTTTAAGGTTACTTCATAGGAATTGTAAGATGTATTTTAAAGTTTCCAAAGCCAAAAAACATCTGTTTCAAACTATCCAAACTATGTTTTGAAGAGTGGTCAAAAGTTTGTAACAAAATCACATTACTTTCCCGCAATTATTTGAAGTTTAACCCACCGTTGGAACTCGCTAGCACAATTGTTTGTATATCGATAAGTCTTTTATATATATATCGATGTGCAATGTTAATATAGAGATGGTACCTTGACTTCAATAACAGTCACGAGGAATATTATAAAACATACAAAATAAATAAAAAATTATAAAAGTATAAACCTCAGCATTACATCAATAAATATAACTCATTTTTAATTAACAATAGCTTTCGATTAAATTAAATCCGGCTGTAACTACCGGATTTCAAACCCAGAAATTAAGAAATGAAAATGTTCCATCTCTATAATCTAGCATTGGATTGCACACAGGTAGTTGTGCGATTAGCCCAATCATAGGAATGAGCATTCGGCTCAGAACCTGCAGTTGAGATCGGCAGCCATAGTCAGCATGAAGAACACCGGGTGAGTCTTGGCCATTGCGAGAGAGAGTCCCTTAACAGTGATTTTCGCCCCCAGAAAACTAAAGGGAAAGACCCTGTTCATCACCGGCGCATCCCGGGGAATCGGAAAGGCCATCGCCCTCAAGGCGGCCCGTGATGGAGCTAATATAGTCATAGCAGCCAAGACCGCCGAGCCCCATGCCAAGCTGCCCGGAACCATATACACGGCTGCGGAGGAGAGTAAGTGACGTTCGAATCATACCCTTGTACCCTCTTTGACCTTTGTTCTGTATTCAGTCGAGCGGGCCGGTGGTAGAGCGCTCCCCTGCATTGTTGACGTGCGCGACGAGCGGCAGGTGCAGCAGGCCGTGGAGGCGGCGGTGGCCAAGTTCGGAGGCATCGACATCGTGGTGAACAACGCCAGCGCCATCTCCATTACGGGCACCCTCGAGACAGAGATGAAGCGCTACGATCTTATGCAGAACATCAACACCCGGGGAACCTTCCTAGTGTAAGGGCTGCCTTAGCCGCAGCGACTTCTAATCTACCCAAACAAATATGTATAACCGCGACCGATCAAACTCCACAGATCAAAGACTTGCCTGCCTTATCTGCTGAAAAGCGAAAACCCTCACATTCTGAACCTTGCGCCCCCGCTGAACATGAGTGCCAAGTGGTTCGCCAACCACACCGCCTACACCATCGCCAAGTACGGGATGTCCATGTGCGTGCTGGGCATGGCGGAGGAGTTCCGCACCCAGGGAGTGGCCGTGAATGCCCTCTGGCCCCGCACCATGATCCACACGGCGGCCGTTGAGATGCTCCACGGATCGGAGGGGGCTCTGTACTCCCGGACGCCCGAGATAATGGCCGATGCGGCCTACATTATATTTTGCCGTGACTCCAGGGAGTACACTGGCAACTTCTTTGTGGACGACGAGGTGCTGATGGACGTGGGCGTCAGGGATCTCGCAAAGTACGCATGCTATCCGGAGAATATTCACCTGTTGTCTACGGATATTTTCCTAGATGAAGCTGGACCCTCGGCCAAGCTGTAAGGCTTTTCCAAAAACGTAATTATACTTACTTGCGGCTTGATAAGATGTATATATGTATGCTTATATTTTGTTTAGTAAATAAAGGTACTTAACCTTTACCAACCCGAGGTCATGTCGGCTCTGACTGTAAGAAGTCGAAGTCTCTTTTGTCCGTTTTAGCGAATAAAACTTTTCAATAGTCTTCTTTCTACTACTGGAAGTATATAAGTCGAAGCGGTCCGGATCGGACATCTTTGTCCCATAGCTCTCATCGAATGATCGATAAAAATAAAAGGAAAAAATTCTAGCGTTGTTTTTGTCGTTTAGTCGTTTAGTCTTCTATTTATTTATTTATTTATTCTCAGGTTAAAAGGCAATTGAGAAATTACCTTTTACCTTTATTGCAGCTATAGCTACTGTGGCCTTAAGCTACTTTTGTTATATTACAATTTACATTTTTACATTTAGACTTCATATAGTCTTCTATTTTCGAGTAAAGCTCTTTTTTATGATTTCAGAATTTCGAGTATTTAATTGGACGACTATACTATATCGTTCCCACAAGATACAGTCTGAAAAAAAATTAAATTCAAATTCTGGCCTTGTTACTTTTGATCTATCCTTTTCTTCTCTGAAGTACTGATATTATTTTCTACTTCAGAATTTTAAAAAAAATTCTTTTTTTTTATCGAACGACTATGTAATAAAGCTGCCATAAAAACGATTGGAAAATATTGAGAAACAAATATGAACAAAATTCTTGCTTCTTTTCTACTCTGTGGTGTAGCAATATTTTAAGATATCAGAATTTCGAATATTTTACGTATATTCATATATACGTATTCTGTAATATACGAATGATTTTAACCGCATGATATGGTTTTCTGTAAAGGAATATCATCTTTAAGTGAAGAGCCAATATTACGAATTTATAGTTTTGAAGGCTTTTGATTTTGGTATTTTGCTAGGAGGGATTTAAACAAACTACTTCATTTAGCATATGAACTAAAATGGAAGAAGAAAAAGGACACATTCCGTTGTATATTCACATAGAAGTCCCTGTAAGTTTGAAAATAGTTAATTTCCTTATTTAAAATTTAATAAAATATATGTTTGTTATCCCGATGCTAAAGTTATTTGCGAGACTAAATTTATAGCTTTATTTTGATCGACATTGAGACAATCAAACCCAAAGCCATCGAAATGCAAACCACTTACTTTTTTCGTTTTCACAAAATCTTTGTCACTGAATAGTCGGGCGTTTAAGCCACAATGAGTGGTGGAATTGGAAAAGAAAATTTATGGCGGAGCAGGTGAAAGTTCTTCTGCCATTCAGTGCAAGATTTATGTGCAGCTTAAGCCGCCGATTCTGATTGCAAAGGGGTTTACCGAGTGACTTGGGTTTTGGTTTAAGGGCTAAATGAATTCACTTACTCCCCCGCTGCCTCGCCGTATCAATTTGCATTGTTAATTGTTCTGGGGCCAAGCTGAAAAAACCTCAACGAACAATCAACTATTTCCAGTGACTCACAGTCAATTAGAATGGAGTACATATAGTTTACGACCGGGTTCTGTGGTTTGTTTATTTTGACAGAAGCTTAGTTTCATTTGCAATGCAAAAAGTTAATTACTGAGTCACTTTTTCTCGATTTGCAAGTTACCACATTTTACGGCTAATAAGCAAATTAGGCAAGGCAAACAAGAAGACCTAAGGGACGGCAAGAATTATTAAAACCGCAGGACAACAGAGACCGGAGGCTAGGAAAAACCGTAGCCATTAGGTAAAATATACATAATTATTAGATGCACTGCCACTGAAAGATAGCTGGAGCATTGCTTTAAATCTATATTCTTTTGACCACTTAAAGACCTGCCTGGAAAAACACTTTAAAGGCTGTGTTGGACCTACGGCAAATTCACACTAGGCGAAGCATAAAAAATTCAGATATCGGTAGCTAACTGACTCACTGACTGGCTGACTGATTGCTCATACGCACCGTTGACTGCCACTGAAACTGTGCCGTGCCTGCTCCTGCGCCCAGCTATCTGCTGGATTTCAATAACCAACGCTGCCGTAGCTACTGTTTCATGGAATTCGGCTCGTTTTGCTCGTCTGCCAGCTGAAACATTTTATGGAGCTACAAATCAAAATTTGCCGGGCACACGTTCCCATAAATCAGCCAGAGCCAGCATGAATCTCTTTGATCCCCCAAAAATGCGAAAAATAAAGTTATCATGTGACTCGCTGTGCGCACTTGACAATTTGCAGGAAAGCTGAATTATTATCTAAACATTTGGTCTGTCCTGGTCCCGAAAATGTGTGCATTAAAAGTGCAGCCTCGTGTGGCGCAATAATTAAGAATTCAATTTAAACTTTTGCAACTTTCCGCCACGACAGGCGGCAGGATGGCAGGATGGCAGAATGGCATCAGGTGGCTCAGAGTTGTGGCTTTCACTGTGGCCGTGTAAAGTCAAAAAGCCGCAACATCATTACGCTCCTGCATTTGCATGCAGCCGGTGTGCCCCGAACTTCTGCTAGCACACACGGAAATCGCAAAAAACACAGCCGGGCCACCTGGCGTATGAGCAATAAAATGCATCTGTGCCGAGGTGGGCCCATATGTTGCTGCCTTGGTCGGGTCTCAAATGGCCTGGCTTGATTAAAGGATAAACAGCTTGCAATTAGCCTAGCCCACAAAGGACTAGGGACTTTAATATTAAAATATGACCATGTTTAAAACAGCAATATTAGTTGGTTGCTTTTTGAACGCCAACAAAAGCAAGGATAAAAGCATATTTAATCAGCGAGTTTTTAACTAGGTAGGTATAATTAAATTAAGATTTTTTTATTAATAATTTAAATTAATATTGGCGCTCTTCCCCTGAACTTATTTTACAGTTTGTATTTATAACAAAAACTTATTATTTTGTAATACTTTCTTTCGCTTTTTACCTAAACGCAACTAAAGATTTTATAATAATGTAGTTTAATTATACGTTTTGATTACATAGACAAAATGCCATACTTTACAATTCCAAACATAGAAATACAACGAGTCGGTTTCATTTATTGAAGCTTCATCTTTACAGACATTACTGGCCAGTTTAGATGTTTTTTAAAAAGGAGGGGTTCCGCTTCATCGATAGGTAGATGAAACCGTGGAGCGGACCATCGTGGAGCGGACAACACGCCGGCCGAGAATCGATCGAACGTCCTTGGTGAAACGAAGGGCATCGAGGAAGGGCAGCAGCTTCAGCAGCTCCGTGTCTCCGGGGTCGTAGATGAACGTCTTGATGGGGAGAGCATTTTCCGGGAAATCGCGGTACGCATACGGCGAGTTGTCGATGATCAAGGTGCCGCTCATGTCCGGGTTGACCAGGGTCAGATCCTTGGCGATCAATGGCGCGGAGTTGCGGCAGTGCTGCCGGTAGAAGCGACGCGGCATCATGCCCCGTCCCGCGTCCAGAAGGTCCACCACCTGGGCGGCATAGACCTCCAGGCTGGCCGTGTAGATCACAACGTCGTACCACTTGGACACAAATTCCAGGAACTCGTCGACATGGGGCCGTTTAAAGACCCGGAAGGAGATCGGTTCGACACCCTCGATCGTCACGCTGAGCACATAATCGGGCTGTGCGTCTTCGGGCAACAGGTTGCATCCCACGTTGTCGTGGGTATCCGGATCGCTGTAGCAGGAGTGCACCAGAGTCTCGTCCAGGTCGAGGATCAGGGTCTTCCGTCCTACCTCGGCCAGTTTCTGGGCCATTGCCGGGGAGATGGCCACATCCTTGTAGGTGAGCGCCAGGTCCGGCCGAAAGAGCGCCCCGATCTTCCTCGCCACATGGGCCAACAGTCGTCTAATGTAGTTGCCCAGGTCGCCGGCGAACAGTATCGAGATGAGCCTCCGGCGGGCGGAGCTCGATCGCGACCTTTGGAGATTGCTGACCACGGCAACGGCCACCTGGCCGGAGGGAGCGAGCTTGACTAGATGTGCGGACTGCGCGGGCAGCTGGCTGACCATTTTGCACAGGAGTCCTTTCCAATTCAATACCACGGAGCAAACGCTGGTTGAAATCGGCTCTCTCTTTTACATTATATATTTGGGCTTACGTAGGATTCAATTTTCGAGATTTGCTGGTGTAATGAGCCGAATGGGAAGTGTCAATGATGGCGAGGATTGTTTTCGTGAATGTCTTGGTTGTTTCTCCAAAATCATTCGGCGAGAATCATGTCAGTTGCTTTCAAGATTTCGATTTGTCGACACACACAACACAACAATGGCCACCACAGAAACAAAGGAATATGTGCGCAATGAATTGGATGCGGAGTTTGAAAACTTTTGGGACACGGTCAGCTGCTTTGCAGCCAACACCTTTCCCTTCGAGGAACGGTGTGCCTTTGTGATGAAGGCCAAGGACTGCAACCGGAGCACCAATGTGGTGCCCTACATGAGGATCCTGGCCTGCGATCTGAATTGCGTCAATGAATTCGAGATGTTGATCTTCCTCACATTGTTTTTGGCGCTCTGTTTTGTGATACTGCTTCTACTGATCCACGTCTGCAACCACTAGTGAGTACTTCGATAGTAATAAATCTCAATAGGTTTGTATTTCATTTTAACTCATTGAAAGAACTGAGAAAATATGATTATAATCAGAAGTAGATAGAAGAATAATTGTCAGAAAGATGGGACTTTAAATTATAAAGAAAATATATATATAGACCATATAAGGTGTATTAACAATAATAATTTCAGTCTTCGTCAATATTGCGATATAATCCCATTTTTTATATCTATATACAGGAGCATTTAGATTTATATTTATTTATTTTGCTATCTTATACTTTTACATTATTACGTCAGTCACGCATCCCTTTGATATGTGCGGCATCTTAATTTTTTCTTTGTTATTTTCTTTGTAATTTTAGGTGATATATCGCTTTTTACTATCTATTTCGATTTGAAAAAATGTATAAAGATAAAAATAATATTTACCGTGGGAACTTTAAATTGAACCTTAGTGTTTTTTCTGTGTAAAAGAAGGTAGAACGAACGTCCCTCTAAGAAATTATGTATTAATATTATTTGGTGCTTTCAGCTACAGTCCGGCTTTAAAGGCCGTATCGAAGTTTATGCATATGAACGAGCACTTGGCGGGCGTGACCCTATTGGCCTTTGGAAACAGTTCCGCCGACCTGTTCTCGAACTTGGCCAGCGTAGATGAGGATGTGCCCGTGTTTGCCAATAGTATGGCCGCCGCCCTGTTTGTGTCCATGGTTTCGGGTGGGTTGATCTGCTACATGTTTCCCTTCAAGATGAATGCCTACGAGAGCGTTCGGGACATTATGTTCCTCATCCTCGGAACGACAACGCTGCAATACTTTCTGGAAACCGATATGGAGGTTTCCGAGTCGGAATTTATATGCAAGTATTTGATTTTATTCATTTAGACTAAATTAAATTATATTTACCCTTAAATATAGGTATGTTTTTTGTGTACATATTTTACATATTAGTGAATGTAGTAGACGTGTACCTAATTCGAAGGGCTTTAATAAGTAATTAGTTCCTTTATATTTTTTAAAGCCACCTCTTTAACACAGTTTTCCAGCAACAAATGCTCAAATCGATGCCCTATTGGATGGCGAACTGACCCCGTCAAAAAGAAAGCGGCTGAGCGAACTGGAGAAGCAACAGGAGATTTATACCCGTGACATGGAAGTGGAGATTTTTGAGAAGAAAAATTCGGGTCCCAACATAAACAAAATGCGGTACACCACCTTGCGAATGACCCGAAATACTCGCGTTAGCGTGGACAAGAAACAAACTCGAAATGTGCGACACAACAGGGCGCTGGGCAAGAATAGGGGAATATGTAAGGACTTCTTCTTGGCCATGAGACCCATCACATGCGAAGAGTGGCGAAAAGCCTATGTGGTCGAGCGGGCCATCATGTTAATCCAGATTCCGGGCGTGATGCTGTGCAGCATCTACATTCCTCTGGTGGACTACGAAATGGAGAAACATGGCTGGAACAAACTTTTGAATTGCATTCAAGTAATGCTTAATCCGGCGATGTCCATTATAGTCATCAAAGGTGAGACAGTTAGGCTGGATTTTCCTAGAACTATTGCTCCAACCATTTTCCCGCACTCCAACAGCCTTGATAAGCTCCAGGGGCAACTCTTTGTGGTACGTCGCTATAAGCCAGGAATACATTTACGGAGTCTACTCCCTTCCCATAACCATGCCCATAGCCGTTTTTATGTTCTTCCAATCCCGAACCGATGTGCCACCATTTTACCATTCGGTGAGACATGGGTGCGAGATATTATCGGGGTAATCGAAAGTCCTAGTTCACACTCACAGGTGTTTACTGTAATGAATCTGACTGGCTCCATGCTCATGATCTTCTTTTGCGCCACTGAAATAGACAAGGTCCTGGAGGTGATTGGTCATATATTGGAGGTTGAGGAGGACTTTATGGGCGCCACGGTGAAGGCTTGCACGGGGAGCCTCGGTCCTCTGATCGCCAACATCGCAATGGCCATGCACGGCTACCCAAAGATGGCCTACGCCTCTGCCATTGGAGGACCCTTCTTCAGTGAGTATCCCTGAGATATTGTACCAATGAGGACATCCCTTATAATTTTTAAGCTTACAGCCGTCTGCTTGTCCGCCACCACTGTGCTGCACGTGAGAAACCTAGTTGGCTTGAAGGTCACGAATGTGAGCCAACAAGGGAACTACGGCGCAAATGCTTTTATTTTTCTAAATTTGGGACTATTTCTAACGCTCCTCTGGTCCACAACGTTGGGTTTTTTCGCCCGACGGTCCGTCGGTATCTTTTGCATCGTCTTCTACTGTATCTATTTGGTATTTGCTATCTTGATTCATAGGAATGTCATACATTCGTTTTCAGCCGACATGCCACTTAAAGCAGCATTCGGAGACATTTAGGCAGTACAAAGTTATCAGTGTGAATAAAAGTACAAATTCTGGGTGTTAAATTTTATGTGTGTTCCATTATTTTTAAAAAGAAAGCTGTACTTTCGGTTCCTTTCTATTTTGCATGCTTATGGTATGGTGATTTCCCAAAGTTTTTGGTGATCACGGCAACCAACCAGTTCCCAACCGATCCCAGAGTTTGGGGAATGGTAGCCCCTTAGATCGCTGAGCACCTGATAGATATTTTGTTTAAATTACTTGTATCAGATAAATTGCTTAATGATAACTTTAAAAATGAACCAACAATTTCTAAACCGTTTCCTTCAACGGATTTCGTTGCAAGAGCTCGACTTGTACGCAATGGAGCCACAGGATTGCGTATACGCCGTGTTGCCTTCAAGCTGCTCTTCACACCTCTGCGATGACAAGGAGGCTAAGTCAAATGTGAGTCGGCGCTAATTGCAGCAAAGCCGCAGACACGAAGGCAAGACTCCTGGCAGCCGATTCATTAGCCCACAACAAGTGCACACGGCCACGCCCAACGGATTTGCAGACATGGGCGGGAAGTGACCTACAATGGCTGCAACAACTGCAGCAAGCGGAAACTGGGGCTCTCCTGGCGCTTGACATTAATTAGGGCTTGCATAATTCACTAGTACAGATGTAACTGTAACTGTTTCGGCTGGACAACCTGGCGTATACGAATTCGCAACCCATCCACTGGCTAATTGAGTTATAATGCTAAGCGGCAATTTATGGCTAGCTGTATTAGCGGCGTCCAGAGCTGCAGACCATCTCCAGGCATAAATCTTCCTTTTCAAGCTATTTAATATGGTGTGTACTTGGTCCATAAATAAATGTTGCCCTCGCCGGTCTGAAATATTTTCCATTTAGCCAACTGACAACTGCAGCACAAAGTTTTACTGCGGAAATAACTGGTTGCGAACTGCAACGTGAAATATGTTTGCAATCTTCTTGGCATTTTTGTTGTTTATTAAGAAATGATGAGGTTTTCTCGTTTCTTTAAGATTTTATAAATAGTTTGCGAGAAACTTTTGGTCTTCTTGGTAGAGAGAAAGAATAATTTGACCCCTGACAGACTGGTGCCATAATTTATGTTGCCAAAAATAACATGAGAACTTTAAAATTGTATCCACCAAGGAAAAAATCGTGCACATATTGATTTTCCTAAACTTTACTTACACGGTCATATCAACCCAACATTTTATGACTAACAATAAAAGTCAGATTCGATAAGAAAGCACAGCACTATAAATAAATTCATTCATGAACGATAGTAAATGAAATTTCAAGCGGAGGCCTGTTGGTGGAAATTAATCTGGAATAAAATAACTAGAACTACTGATACCAAAGAGCTTTTTAGGAATCAAGAGCTCGGGAATCAAATACCTATTAAATACTAGTACATGCCATGAAAACTATTCCAATGACACATCATTCGAAATCAATTTCCCTTCTTGCATAAACCATCACTGGCAATCTGGATGCGATTCCGCACTTGTGCCTTAAATATTTGATGACTTTCACACCGAATCATGGCAAGACCAAGCCAATTGCATAGAAAAAAGGATCTCTTCTCGTTTTTGCATTCAATTCGGCACTGCAAGGCGTGGAGGAAAATGCAAAACAATTTGGTAACAAGCAAAATGCATCAAATCTCATGGCCATGGAGATTTCCTCCGGCCCGGGGAATCGGATTCTCGAGTGGCGAAAGGCGAAACCAAAGCGGTTGCAAAAACATGTCACATTAAGTGCACAGATAGAGGGTCTGGCGGATGCACAGATGCACAGATGGACAGATAGACGGGAAGTCTAAGAGAAGTTGAGTGCTTTTATTGCTGCCGGAATTCTGCGTGCCATTTGCCTCAGAAGTTGGAGCTGCAAGTTGGCTTTCGCTCACTTCTTTTTCCCTATGCTTGAGCCAGCACTTCTTGTTTATGCAATTGTACTTAAACCTAATGGTTATGTTTCAGCTGCAGCTGCCATAATAGCCGGAATCAAGTGAAATTTACATCTGCAGTCAATATTAATGTTGACTTGGGCTATTCATCGGTTCTGAATAATTTGAAAACATTTTCAAAACTGTTGAAAAGAAAAAAATGAGTGAAAATCCCGTCTAATCAGTTTGCATAGTTCAATTTATAAATACTATATGACATATGTTACAAAACAAAGAACTAATCTATTCTTATCCCAAAATCTTATCCCAAACTTAAATAAGATTAAAACCCCCATCTGACTCGTCGTTGGCTTTATAGTTCATGTTATCAAGACTCTGAAGTATTCATTTGCTTAAAGAACATGTTAATACAACTTTAATTGTGCTCGTTTTACAACCAATAAATTCCTTAAGCTGGATTGTATCCGTTAATCAGTGTCTTATATTCGCTGATCGATTACCGTACTCCGTCCACAAAGTCACTCGTCTGAGCTGAAATCCTCCAGTATCGTTGTCGCACAAATCACTGGCCCTTGAACGTTGACAGGACACCAACCCCAGCCACTTTAACCCTAATTAACGAGAAGCTTTTCCCATCGTTTCCATCAGTTTTCCTTCATTATGCAATACGCTTTTTATGCAGTGAAACTGGAGCGTCGGGACAGGGCAGTTTGCTAGGAGGGTACTTTGCTGCATTTCAATGGACCGCTGTCAGTTATTTAACTCCCCCCGACGCCTTTCGAAAGCATTTCCCTTGCGAATGTTTTAATCATGATACTTCATTAACTTAATTAGTCACTACGACGGCTGACGCAAAACGCCAAAGCACAGTTATGTGGGTGAATTCGCAATGAAATGATATTTGATTAAAGGCCCCTGCAAGGGATCAGCTTAAGAACTTTATAAAAACGTGAAGTATATATTTAAGGAGAAAAAAAAAAATCAAATCATATTGGATCAATATATTCATCTCTAGAAAATGGGTGCACCAGTTCCCACTCCACGCAAACTGCATATATAAGGAACAGCAAATATATGACCCAAAGGAAAACTCCGGCGGATCGTCGTGCGTAAAAGTTGAAGGTGACACACCACCACAATGTGGTCACGATGGTTATTACCAGGAAAATGTAGCAGTTATCACCCAGATCGCCGTACACCCACAAATGAGCGCCCACCTCGCGAACTCTGTGATTGAAGATGAAGGCCAAACTCATGCTGATTAAAATGGCTGAAATGGACATGACATGGTTATCAATACAGTGGTAATAGAGATTCCCCTTACCAAAAACTGGTCCTCCAATAATGGCCGCGAAGGCCATTCGCCCGTAACCCTGCATGGCCAGCTGGGAATTGGCTATAATATCGGGGGTGGCATTCGAAATGGCCTCAAAAGTGACTGCCATGAAGGTCTCGGAAAAATTGAAAACGATGCCCACAATCTCGGAGAGGACTTCCAACTCGGTGACAGCGATCCACAGGGTCACCATGGAACTGAGAAAGGTAAGGATAATAAACAGCTAGGAAAGAAGGATAACCCCAATTCGAGTTTTATCGAACAGCTGTGGTGGCGATTTGGGACTACTTACTTGGTGATAGAACGGCGGCACGTCCGTCCGTGAATGCAGGAAGACCGCTATGGCCAGCGGGATCGTAATGCACGGCGACCACATCGAGATGCTGATGTTGAGGGTTATGTACCAGGTGTGATAGACACTGGCCACGGCAGCTGAAGGTCACCAGGGTTTAGAGATCAGATGCATGGGCAAAGAGGTCTCGCATACCTACAGTGCACCAGGGTAATGATCACAAATGGGTTCGTCACAATCTGCGTACAGTTGAGCAGCTTGCTCCAACCATGCTTGTCCTTCTCGAAGTCCACCACGGGAATAAAGAGCAGCATTACGAATACCAGGGGGCACCTGACAATCAGGTATAGTCGATTGCACTTACCGCCCAGCTGCCAGGCCTCCCCATCAATGGGGTTGAGGGAGTGGAGGAACTCCGTGAACAGCAGGAGATTTTTGGGGTTTTCCGAATTGTGCAGATTGGTACGATTGGCTTCGTGGTCAACTTCTTCGGGTCGTTCCTTCGGTCTGGGGGTAACAAAATAGCCGGCTTTCGTCGTATCGGAGAAGTGGTTACCAGAATTCCTGGACCGTCGATACTTGGTTGTATCACTGATTTGTATGTCATTCTCAACTTCCAACGAAGTCAATGTTCGCAGCTTAGCCTGTAGTTCTTTAGTCGGCGGGGGAGTTAAGTTCCCCAAGTGGTCCACTTCTTTTCGAAGTTCTGAATGGTAAAAAAGATCAGTTACTCATCCAAAAAAACAGAAGAAGTAAACCTTACTTTCGATGTAGAAGCGCATTATAATAACATCGGCAATGTTAATAACCACATATACGACGTAAATAAGGAACAGCACTAAGGGATTGTTTATAAATCAGTTAAGCCTTTTTGCGATTTCAGCTATATTCTTACCGATTGCTTCCCACATGGTCACTGCTCCCTCCTTGATCATAACAAATCGGAGGACCTCAACACCCAGCAGCAGAAACAAAAGATCTCGCATTGTGCAGTGTCCGTTCATTTTGAAAGGCCTTAGAAAACAAACTGTGCCGCCACTCAGCAATATTATGGCCAGGGTATTACCCACAGCTATGGTAAAGATCGGAGCATCCGCTCTTACCGGCATCAGATTAGCAATAATTTCAGGACTACAGTTGCCGAATGCTAAAAGGGTAACGCCCGCCAGGTACTCATTCATGTGCAGCTTCAGCGAGATTATCTTGAGGACTGGCGAAAAGCTGCGGGTTCTCAAATAGGCGATGAAAGTCATTTCATATACATATCCGTATATCCAGGAACTTACTAGGCACCAATGTTGAAAGACATCAGCCATAGGAAGGCCACACAAATAAACGAAAACAGAAACATGAACAGGACTTCTGTTGTTTTGTTATCAATGTGGATCGAGCAATACATCATCCTGAAGTAGTTGAATAAGTTTATTATGCGTTTGCAGTCACCGACTTGCTTGGCCATCTGGCAACGATACGAGTAGGGAAGTCTCATAACGGCTCTGCAGCTCATCTGTAACACCCGAAAAATAAGTGGATACAATTTAAACAAAAGTATATACAATCTTACATTTTTGATAAAGTAGTGAAATTCGTAGTCTATTTCTGTTAAGTTATATTTAAGATTTTTTTCGTGCACACCCATTATAATGTTTTCCTATATCCAAGTCAAAACAATTTGGGAAAAAATTATTTTTACTACTGACGGATGTCGAACAACACACCTTTTGATTAAATTTGTTCTAGAAAATCAGGCTTGCCAGCCAATGTGTCGGCTGCAGCCCATTGATAAAGAAAAAGCCAACTTTATAGAATATTAAATAAATCAACGTTAGGAGATTGTGACGGGGTTTACGCCTAGGGTCTTCCCCTAATATGAGACTAAGCATGTGCCTCTGAGGAGCGCTGTAAATCAGCCATCAACCAACCGATAAGATGGTATGGCATTTGGACCGCGGATTGCTATATAAGCGCCCCCACCAAACCACCTTCTCCATCAAGAGATCGTCAACTATTACAGCTGGTAATCATGGTTTCCAAAGTGGCTCTCCTCCTCGCCGTCCTGGTCTGCAGCCAGTACCTCGCCCATGGCGTATATGTCGTCTCCAAGGCGGAGTGGGGTGGTCGTGGCGCCAAGTGGACCGTGGCCCTGGGCAACTACCTGAGCTACGCCATCATTCACCACACTGCTGGCTCCTACTGCGAGACCCGTGCCCAGTGCAACGCCGTGCTGCAGGGCGTCCAGAACTACCACATGGACTCCCTGGGCTGGCCCGACATCGGCTACAACTTCCTGATCGGCGGAGACGGCAACGTCTACGAGGGCCGTGGCTGGAACAACATGGGCGCCCACGCCGCCGAGTGGAACCCCTACAGCATTGGCATCAGCTTCCTGGGCAACTACAACTGGGACACCCTGGAGCCGAACATGATCTCCGCCGCCCAGCAGCTGCTCAACGACGCGGTTAACCGTGGGCAGCTCAGCTCCGGCTACATCCTGTATGGCCATCGCCAGGTCAGCGCCACCGAGTGCCCCGGCACCCACATCTGGAACGAGATCCGGGGCTGGTCCCACTGGTCTGGCTAGGTCCTTGACATGAACCCTACCAAATAAATTTTGTACAAAAAGAAGATTTGTATTTTATCTGCGTTATACACCACAGTATTTCGTATTTTAATAGGGCTGTACTTCAATGTACTGGTTGTCCTGGAAACCATGGATCCACCGAAATTCAATGGCAGTCGAGTAAATGATAAACAGTATGAATAGGCACCACAGAAACACGCCAGCGGATCGCCGGGCAACGAAGTTAAAGGTCAAGGACCACCACATGGTGGTTACGATGGTTATCACCAGGAACAAATAGATAGTTTCACCCTCATCTCCGAACAAGTGCACTTGACCATCGGAGTTAAGTTTATTCTCCACCACCAATTCGATGCCAACGTTGACAACCATGTCTGCGGGAGAAATGATCGCTTATTCGTATCCGTACAGTTAAAAAAATTATTAGCCCCGAACCTTAGTAGTGTAAAGTCTGTATGTTTACTGTATACTGTATTTGAAAAATATTTTCTTTATGTGTATATTCTTTTCTTAATTTACAAAAAGAATCGCCATCCACCGAAATTTAAAAAATTCAGTACCATTTCGTTTTTGAGTGTTACAATTACCCTGAAATCATTTATGTCGACTTAAAAAAAGACTTACGATTATATAGGTGTTTTTTTTTTCTAAGGAAGATTTTAAATGTAAATAAAATAATCTCGACACAGATACACCTTTGACATCAAAGTTAGAATATATGATCGCAGTTTGGTTGCCAACTTACTGAAAACTGAACCGCCAACAATGGCGCCAAAGGCCATCTTTCCAAAGCCGTGTTCGGCGAGATGAGCGTAGGAAATAAAGTCTGCCGTTGCAGCGGACACCGCGTTGAAGGTGAAGGCCATAAAGGATGGAGACAATTGAAAAACAATGCCGATTATCGATATAAGCACATCCATTTCCCAGGCACAAGTCCAAGTGAATATAATCACAGTGCCAATCGTAAGCACGCAATACAGCTAAGGGATCAATGGTTGTTCAAAAGGGTTTTGAAATGGAGGTATTCTTACGGGATGATAGAAAGGAGGGATGTCAGTGCGCGAGTGCAAAAATACAATTATGGCCAAGGGCGTCGTTGCCAATATAGACCACGTTGCCATTGTGAACTTGGGAATGTTATACCAATTATAGTAGTTGTCGGCTACGCTAGCTAAAATATAGGAAAAAATTAGGTATTCAGAAAAGAGTTATATTTTTAATATATGTACGATTAAAAAAGATTTGTGTCATAAGGTATACACAATTAATTCATAAAGAAACAAGAAGGAACACTATGGTCGAGTGCCTACCAAATAACCGTTACTCTGCTAACCGGTTTCAAAATAAATATGCCTCCAGATGGCGCCACCTAGCTCTACTAACCACTTAATGGCTAATTCTAACTTTCAATACGTAACAACTTTTCGAAAACGTAAGCTAAATCAATAAATCAAACCTCAAATTGTGGGTGCCACTGTTGTCGTGGCAATTTTTCATGAATTGTTATTTTAAGTTTAAGTTTCAAGTTGAGCTCTAAAAATAGTCAAAAATAATACTAGGAAGATCGCTATAGTCGAGTTACTAAACTAAGAGGAGCTGGAGGGAGACAGCAAAGCGACATTTTCCGAAATAGAATGTCGCCACCCAGAGGCGATTACAATATTTGGTTATAAATTATTTATGGGCGTTACATACTTTTCTCCGCATACATATACCGTCTTTTCTCTACGATAAACGGATATAAAAATATAAAAAGGCTACTGATTTTAGAAGGTTATTTAAATTATGTAAAGGGACCCCTTTAGACCCTTGCATTCTTTCTTGTTTCATTGTTCCAAATATAATAAGACGTACTTTACCCTTAAAACATAATTCAATTAATTAGATGTTACAACTTTAATGTTTTCTTAAGTGTTGCCTAGTTTTCTGCGTATACGTACTTTCGATCAGTGTAATGATGACGAAAGGAGTGATCACGACTTGTAAGCTGTTCAGCAACTTGCTCCACCCATGCTTGGCCTTCTGGATGTCCACAAATGGAATTACCAACTTCATCAAAAATCGAATTGGGGCCATTAAGACCATTGATATGCGTACACATGTACCACTTATGCCCCACGCATCTGAGTCGATGGGATTGAGCGATTGAAAAAACTCCCTAAATAGGAAAAGATTTTTAGGATTGGACTTGCTGTGAAGAATTGTTCGGTTGCTTTCCACATCAACTTTCTTATGTCGAATAAGTGGCTTAGGTGTTACAAAAAAACCTGCGTCAAAAGATCTTTTGCGATATACTTTTGATTCAAGGATTTGGACTTCATCGTCTTCTTCAAGACTATTCAAAAAAATAATTTTCTCAGCCAATTTACGATCGTGTTGATTGGATGATGGCGAGTGCCTCATATGTTCAACATCTTTCCGAAGTTCTTTAAAATTTAAATAAATTAATACGCGTTTGAAAAATAAAAAGGGTATTTAGTTTCATACTCACTTTTTATTGTGTACCGTTGAAGAACAACATCGACAATATTAACAATCAGGTATATGGGATAAATACATAGTAGAACTAAAGCAGTTTAAACATAAAATTCTTTATATACGTAAAATTTTTAAATATATTGACTAAATTTAACTTACTGGTACCCTTCACCCATGGCTTTTGATGAGTATCCTCAACGAAAAATCGCACCAGCTCTATGATGAGGACGAGAAAGAGAAGGTCCCGGAAAACGCTGTGACCATTCATCCTGAAAGGACGGATAAAGCACACCGCACCACCGCTCAGACATATGATAGTTAGGGCATTGGCCATGGCTATGTTGAAGGTAAGGGACTCCCGCCTGACAGGGGATAAGTTGACCAGCAGATCTGGAGTTGAATTGGCCACGCCCACGAGCATTACGCCAGCCATGTACTCGTTTATTCGCATCTTATGAGCAGCGATCTTTAGCGTTGGTGAAAAGCTGCACTGGCTGGGATTAGAAAGAACTCAGATGGTCTCATATATTTCTGAACTCACTAGTGGTTGATGCTCAGGTAGAGGATGCACAGGAAAATGCAGTAGATTACGCCAAACAGCAACATCACCGTTATTTCAGTCATTTTATTATCGATCTCGAAGGTACAATACATCATCACATAATAGTTAAAAAAGTTGGTGATATATCTGCAGTCGGTGATATGTCTGGCCATGTGGCAACGATGGGCGAAATGCAAATTCATCACGGCCAAGCAACTCACCTGAAACGCCTTCTAGTATGAAGAAACTATCACATACTTCGTTAGCCATACTCACGTTTTCCAAAAAATTAGTATAATTATGAAAACCTGATGGAAGTGTATTAGTTCAACACGAAAAGTTACTAGCTGGACATCCTACTTACTAAAGGCTTCCATATTCGCCTCCATTCTTAAAGAAATCGTGGCTAAAAAGCCGTTTGTCCTTATGAATATATTTTTTTTTAATTCAAAAGATAGCCTGACATAGATTGAACAACTAACTCGAAATATTTTTGTTAATTTCGGTTCTACATTCAATTAAACAGGATAATTCTTCAGCTATCTTAAATTCCATTAAAAAGGGTCCAAAAGTAAGCAATAATTTAAATTGTATTCAATTCATATCTAAAACTTTTATATTTAAAATGAGAATGCACTTTTTGAGTGCCTGATGTTTTTTGACGGAGCCAACCATCAGACTTGATTAGGACCTTCCGCATGGCCGATTGAATAAATCAAAATCACCAGATTGGTAAGGTGCTTCCCCCAATACGAATCTGAGCAAGTGCCATCGATTAGTGTTGTAAATCAGTTATAAGCGACCCGATAAGGCGGGATTCTCGACCGCAGTTTGCTATATAATCGCCCCCACCAGCCCACGTTCTCCATCAAGCGATCGTCAACTATTACAGCTGGTAATCATGGTTTCCAAAGTGGCTCTTCTCCTCGCCGTCCTGGTCTGCAACCAGTACCTGGTCCAGGGCGTCTACGTCGTCTCCAAGGCGGAGTGGGGTGGTCGCGGCGCCAAGTGGACCGTGGGCCTGGGCAACTACCTGAGCTACGCCATCATCCACCACACCGCCGGCTCCTACTGCGAGACCCGTGCCCAGTGCAACGCCGTGCTGCAGGGCGTCCAGAACTACCACATGGACTCCCTGGGCTGGCCCGACATCGGCTACAACTTCCTGATCGGCGGAGACGGCAACGTCTACGAGGGCCGTGGCTGGAACAACATGGGCGCCCACGCCGCCGAGTGGAACCCCTACAGCATTGGCATCAGCTTCCTGGGCAACTACAACTGGGACACCCTGGAGCCGAACATGATCTCCGCCGCCCAGCAGCTGCTCAACGACGCGGTCAACCGTGGCCAGCTCAGCTCCGGCTACATCCTGTACGGCCATCGACAGGTCAGCGCCACCGAGTGCCCCGGCACCCACATCTGGAACGAGATCCGGGGCTGGTCCCACTGGTCTGGTTAGTTTGCATCCTCATAAGATAATTCAAATTGTTAGTAAAAATCATTCCAAATTCGATTCTTTGGGTGATCCGCGGAGATTGATTCGAGTACAGCCTTCTAAGTGACAGGGGAAATACATTTGGAAACTCCTGCTCCCATTATCCCTCTTCGTTTTGCAGTCGAGTCTCACGTTCAAGCTGTCAAAGAATTTATTCCCCCCATTTCACGAAAAGTTTTGAAATTTATAGAAGCTGGAGGATGTGTGACTGGCAAACTTGCAGAATATCATTAGGTCGGGTCGTTCAGACTGTTGTGCTGCACTTGGAAACTTTAGTTATTTTTTTTGAGGAATAAACGAATGCAACAGAAATGCTGTACAAAAATGTAAAATTAACTTTCAACACTGGACTGCGACATTAACTGCAGCCAAAGCAGCGGGAAACTTCACAATCACAATCGGTCGCTGACCAAAGCGAACTATCCGCCACTTGAACCGCAGCCTCATTAACGACATCCTCGTTATCAAAGTAGTTCTGAATGAGTTTCAGTTGTTTTTGTGCTTAATAACTAGCTTAAGCTTTCAGTTTCGCGATTCACCTCCTTCCTGCCAGGAGGAAAAGCACTTGGTGGCACTCGGATGGCTGGACAAAGTGGATTGGGTGAGTGGTTCCACCCCACTCACCTTCCTGTCCAGGATCTGCTCCTGCGACTTTCAGTTTATTACAGTATTTTTATTTCCCTGATTACCAGTTAATTATCAAGATTTACGAATTCATCTGTTCATTGAGTAGGGAAATGTACTATACATGTGAGCTACCTCCATTCATGACTGATAAGGTGGCCTTGAGATTTAGAAGTCCCCTTTATATTAATTCTTCAATGACTTATGAGTTATAAAGTTACAAGTGATACACAAACACCGAAGAAAGTTTTTTTTAATGCAGGTCTATTGGCATTCAATAATTGTTAATATAGACTGTTTCTAACACTTCTATATACTTGGTTTTGTTAAATCATTTATTGTTAGTTATCTTTTTTTCAGGCTCGTATTATAAAATTTCTTATTTCTTTCTTTCTTTTATTTGATTCTACGTCATCGCACACTTATCTTGTGGATCGTATTTGAAGTAGGGGCGTATTCATACAATAATGGCGATGCCACTGATCAGTAATCTAATCAACAATTTCCTTTTTCGCGCCTCTGATTGATTATAATAATATTTTCGTCGGTATCTATCATCGATCCATATCAGCCACTTAAAGTACTTGTCTTTTAAAGCAGTTATAAATAAAAATCGAACACCATCATATCAGTTGCGATAAGAGAATTCAAAAGTTTATGATTACTATTTATAAAAAATTCTGGTTTAATCTTAAATGTCTTAAATTAGGCTATACCGTTTTTATACCCGTTACTCGTAGAGTAAAAAGGTATACTAGATTCGTCGGAAAGTATGTAACAGGCAGAAGGAAGCGTTTCCGAACCCATAAAGTATATATATTCTTCATCAAGATCACTATCCGAATCGATCTAGCCATGTCCGTCTGTCCGTCTGTCCGGATGAACGCTGAGATCTCGGAAACTATAAGAGCTAGGCTATTGACATTAGGCGTGCAGATTCCTGAGCTTCTTACGCAGCGCAAGTTTGTTTCAGCAATGTGCCACGCCCACTTTAACGCCCACAAGCCGCCCAAGCCTGTTTCGCCCACAATTTTCATGCTAGATAAAAAATTTTAACTGAAATGTATGGTCTCGTCAATACCCATCAATTGATCCGAAAAAAAATTTACCACGCCCACTCTAACCCACCCATTACGCTTAAATCTGTCTACCGCCGGTAGGTGGCGCATTTTAATCTCGCTTTGCTGCTTGCATATCTCCATTTCCCTTTGGTTCCTTTAGCTGAGTAACGGAGGTGGAAATATGCATCAGCAAAACGAGATTGTAAAGCGCCACCTCTTGGGGTGAAATGTATTTATGCATATGTATATTTTTTATAAAAGCTTGAAAGTTTAGACATTTTTATAGATATCGCCTTTTCTTTTATGAAATTTCCATTTCGAATTTATTGACAATTTATCCAGGAATGTGTTATTTTATCCACAAATCTACTAAAATGTCCTTGTACTTCATGTTCAGTTTCCATAATTATTTCTGCCACCATAAAAGCTCTGAAATCCTTAAGCTTTAAGTTATATTAGGTTATTGTCCTGATGGCCGCAGTAGGGCGTATTCGTTGAATGGTATGCCTTTCGAGTTTAATAACTGTATCCTCACCATATATATTCTTGATCAGTATTCCTATTACTCTTTACATTACTAGTCTTTTACTAGTCTTTGTTAGGGCTGGCTGTTTTCCACCGATAGTTAATTGGAAATGTAATAAAAGGCCAATCTTAAAAAGCTTTCTAATAATAATAATGGAAAATGATAATAGAATAAATTCGAATCTGGAAATTCTAGTATTGACAGATATTCGCATTGTTATGACAGTGGTTAGGCTGCACAATATACATCCGCCTCTTAGACAATTTAATTAATGACACTTGGCCTGATTAGAAACCCGATTGGTCCGCCGTCATCGCCGTATCAGGATCTGGCCACCAGATAGCCCCGTATCAGATGGAAGCACACGACCCGGCTCGCAGCCCGAGCCCGGGATCGGTTTGCAGGCGATAAGAGGCGGTATATAAGGTCCGATTGGACGACAGGCCGCACAATCGATCCGCAACCATGGCAAACCAAGCTCTCGTCCTTCTGGCAGTGCTCTTCTGCGCCCAAGCCGTCGTCGGGGTGACGATCATCTCCAAGTCGGGGTGGGGCGGCCGCTCCGCCACGAGCAAGACCACGCTGGCCAGCTCCCTGGGGTACGCCGTGATCCACCACACCGCTGGAAACTACTGCTCCACCAAGGCTGCCTGCATCACCCAGCTGAAGAACATCCAGGCCTACCACATGGACTCCCTTGGCTGGGCCGATATCGGCTATAATTTCCTAATCGGCGGCGATGGAAACGTGTACGAGGGGCGCGGATGGAACGTGATGGGTGCTCACGCCACCAACTGGAACTCCAAGTCCATCGGCATCTCCTTCCTGGGTAACTACAACACCGACACCCTCACCTCTGCCCAGATCACCGCTGCCAAGGGTCTGCTCTCCGACGCCGTCTCCCGCGGACAAATCGTTTCCGGATACATACTTTACGGACATCGTCAGGTGGGCTCCACTGAGTGCCCCGGCACCAACATCTGGAACGAGATCCGCACCTGGTCCAACTGGAAGAGCGTTTAGCTCTAAGAAAAGGCATTTATAAAAATAACTAAAAAAATTGATTCAAATAAAAGCTTAATACAATCGCACACAATAATATAATCTCGGGTACTTTTTCTGAGGGGGAATATTTCTCGTGATCGACTTCAATTCTTATTGATGGCTTAGTCATCGCTTAATGATCGGAAACTTTCAGACAGTGACTTCCCTCGATCTGAAAAATAAGAATGAAAAGAGGTGTCTTGCAGGTAGGTGTAGTTGGGATCCTTCTTTGTTCAAACTAAGGAAACGAATAACGCTCCTCTAGTAGGGTATATATATTTCAGAAAGCAAACTTGTCAAAAAAATGAAAATTTTTCACATTTCAATAATCAATATTATAATGAAACCTATAATTGAAATACATATACCCGTTGCTCTGTTAACCAACTTTGCAACGTAGACAGCGACATTAAAAAATCGGAATTTGCATTGTCTAATTTTGTTCCTTTACTTTCAAGAATGCGTACAAGGAAATCATTTTAATATCTTATGTAGTTATCAGAGAAGGAACCAGCAAAGACTTGTTAGTTTGAAAACTGATTCGACTAAAATCTTACTACTTACCATTTATAAGGCTGCTATGTATATGGGGATCATAACTTTTTAAATATTGACATGTCTATACGTATTGGAAAATAAATAAGCAATACCATAATACACCTAAAAAATCATCCAATTTGTGAGCGCCAAACAGACATGTGTTTTTATACAAACTTGCGGTTCACTAGAATCTGCAGTTCATATGGACGGACATGATGATCCTGATAATATATGTATATACTTTATATATTCAGTCTGCAAAAATTAAAACACAACAAACTAAATATAAACTAATTTTTATTCGAATATCTCTGCATATTTAGTACACAGTATACATTTAGATATTGTACACACATAAAACTTTACTGTTGCTGATAATATCATCATAATTAATAGATTATGTCTGCCTGCGATGTTACTTCAGTACTCGGTATTCAATATGCATAGTCTTACAAGATAGCTTAAAACAAAGAACATCGTAAAGGTGTCTACAATGCCAGCGACACTCTCTGGTAACAACTACTTGGGCCTACACTATCCGAAATGCTCGGGCTAATTCGGGCCAAATAAAAACGTTCTAACAAATTGTTGCAGCTACGTTCGGGTCAGATGCGGCCGAAAAGGAATTGAAGCTTTCCTTGCCAGCATCGCAAAATGTTTTTGGTTTTAATGCTTGTTCAGTTTACTAAATGAGCAGCAACTAGAGCATCTTAATTGTACGTTAAACAACAATAATGAGCGACGGCTAAAAGCGAATACTTGTTTGCGTTTCGATTCTCTAAAAACACTGATCAATACATTGAAGCAACCATTAAGACCGTGTATGTGTGCCTGGGAATGATAGCTGTGAGATGAAAGACCAGAAACCAGAACATCTGGGCAAGAGGAGGATGTGGGGAGGGGTGTTCACCGATGATCACAACCCACTCGCCATGAGAAGCAAACTAATCCAAACTACAACTTAGGCCTGGCTCTCGTCGCGCCCACCAAATACTTGTCCCGGGATGTTGGGTTGGCGGTGCAGCGGCGACTGCGAGGGCACCTGCACCTGGGCGTCGGCCACGTCATTGTAGGGCGGCGGAGGTGGAATTCCCCCGATTACATCAACGCCAGCGTCGATCACCTCCAGGTCGTCATCATCCTCGTCGACATTGACATTCACAGCAGCATCGCTACGTCGCATTGGTGGCGTATTGGCGTTGACATGCATAGTGTTGTTATTGTTCGGCTGATCGTTGTTGTTATCCATGTTGTCATCCGTGTTAGAGGCTGCGTTCGCGGTGGTGGCTGCTCCAAGGGCGACAAAAAGGGGAGCCACCGAGGGATTAACCTCTGCCCCTTCAGCCGTTGCGTCCTCGGCCTCCTCGTAATTGGACATGGCCACCTGGTAAGACGGCGGTGGTGCCTGCTTCAAGTACTGGGCAATAGCTTCATCGTAGTTGGGCAACAAGGTGGAATAGGAGCGCTCCTCGGCCCCGAAGGTTCCACCCACACTGTGCACTCCAGTTGGCGGCTCCAAGAAGGGGAAAAGGGTGCGAACGTGTTGCTGACGGAGAGTCAAATACTTGTAGCAGCGCCAAACGATACCAATGCAATAGGCCTTGAGAAAAACGATGCAAATGAAGACGACAAGAACCACCACAACCAGCTCCTCAGGCGGCAGTTCCAGCAGCTTCTCGCGCCATGGCAAGCGATGCGACTCGGCAATGATGCTGTGGATGGCCTGCAGGTAGCACAGATATCCAGCGGCGGTGAGACTGTCATGCACAATAAAATACATTCATTAGTATATTAATCTTTAAGAGTAAACCCTTTTCAGGGATTAATAAAAGCCTCTAATGATTTAAAAAGGATATGTCTGTAACACTCACGTGGTAATGGCGAAGTCAAACAACTGCAGGCAAAAGAATGGCAACAGGTGCGAGGGCTTTCCCTTGATGGTGCCGTAGATCATCATCAGCGTGATGGCTATCATGCAGGTGCATACCAAGCCGCCCATGTCAAAGTTCTCTGCGGGAGGACACATAAATGAAAATGCATTGCGAAAACTGCTCTCTCCACTGCTTACGGTAACGCTTACGATAGTTGAAGGAGTGGTCACGGTAGGCGTAGGGTGGTTCGACCTTGCTCAGAGGCGTGGGTAGGGCCGGTGCACTCAGATCCACGGTGTAGTCGTGGTTGCCGCCTTCCAGTTCGTCCATCATCTCGGGATTGCGCCATATGACTGCCAGAACACTCAATGCCAAGATGTTCAAAAACTGAAAGTAAAATTGAAGTTATGTGAGCTGATAATTAAAAATAAAGATAGCAATTAAGATAGTTTTAAAATGTATTTGTGGAAGACCAGCATATGGACATTTTTGTGTGTTCCACTAGAAAAATCATTACAAATACCTAGCTAACACAAACTTCCAATTATTTATCGAAATAAACAGATTAAATTCCGAGTATGTATCAAGATATATTTCACAATTTTTACAACAAACATCTAAACTCAACTAATGGGCTTAGTTCGATCCAACTTTTTGGCCTGGCAATTGAAACACACGTTGCTGGTCTCTGCCTGCTCCATAGAATGCCAGTAGTCCCGGTGCTGCATCTGCAGATAGTTCAGGTATTCCACGAACGTTTCGTACGTTAAGTCCAGCGTGATCTTGCATTGCATGCGATGATGATGGCGGCACTTTCGGTCGTATATCCAGTTACGTTGCATGGGTGGCTTGACACTCGTCTTACGCAAATGCTGCATAAAGGCCTCGCGATCTGCTCCATAAAAGAGCCGCGTGGTGGTATATGCGATGCCATCATGAATGGCTTGACGGACCTCTGGCTCCGATACGATTCTCCTCACTTCCACAGCGGAGACATCCGGCTTTTGCAACTGAATAAGCAACCACGGAGGGATGAGTCCGAAACGAATGCTGGATGTAACAGCAGTTATGTTCTTTTGTCTTTGGGGCCAGTGGTGGTTTAGCCAGCGAGCAGCCGCCATGAAGACCTCCAGCTCCATATTCACGCCAATACTGCTCGAACTGATTAGCATGAGCAATGATTTCAGCGGGAGGCGCAGGAACTCTTGGGAGGCTACCAGCGTAAGAAAAAACTTAGAGACGCGCATTAGAAATTCCCGGTAAGTCTCCTCCAGTTTGAGGATCTTAGCCTCAAAGTACAGCATCGCCGCGGAGTCTTCCTTAAAGCCGTTTTCCATACAATACTGGCACTGACGGACAAGTTGCGGAATGTCCAAGAAACTGGCGGCTTGTAGGACTTCCAGAAGACCGAGGCGCGGTAGGATCGGCGTGTCTTCGACCATCCAGTCGTAGATAAGACAGAAGGAGCGAGGCGTGATCTTCTCCTCAGGCAGGTCTACGCTCAAGTCGTTGCTCATATCGCGAAACATTCGCGAAAAGCTTTGCAAGGCCATCAGGTGCACGGAATGTCGACTCTTTCCGATGGTGACCTCTGAATTGGTCTGAACGCGCCGCTTTACGAGGCTTACAATCTCCTGGTACAGATTGGTCTTTTGGGCTACTGATTTACTAGTTTCCTGTTTCTTCAAAGAATCGGCTATCGAGTAGCCCAAGGAGGACATAGTACGCTCGCTGAGAGTATTGAAGACGCCAGCCTGGATGCTCAGCACGGAGGATGAAGAGCGATTGATGCCAGTTGAATTGATGTACAGGGGCTTCAGGTCATTGTCCTTTCCCGGGTCCTCTGCTTCCTCCTCTGCCGTTTCGCTTTCCTCTGCCAACTCCACTGCATAGGGACGTAGGATGGATGTTTCTTGGGAACTAGCACTAAAGCCACAACTCGAATGGTGTTCAGGATTTGTGTTGTCCGCTTTGGGCATTGCATTCGAATCTTGCAAACGCCTTCACCACTCGGACAGCTTCCTCGGGAAGCGCTTTCATTGGAAATGAGCAATGTGGCGAAATGTGTGCTGCCAGAAAATATTTCAACAAGTTTTGAATAAGATTCCAAGGATCACGAGTGGGAAATTAAGAGATATCTCAACATCTAAAAGTATTTCAAGTGCGTTAAGCAGGTGTGTGAGTCCGCTCATCAAGATAAGCTGGCAAAATAGATAAGGAAGCTTCGCTTCATTTGATTTGCAACCTGTGTGCTGATAGATGACAGCTGAATTAACAATTCTCAGATTTATGGCAGCCCACTTCAGAAGGTTGTTCCAGAAGAAAGATATACACCGAAAAGCAAGAGTAAACCCCCTGAAGAGTAAATATTTTCGCATCATCTGTCCAGTACGTGTAGTTATTAAAAATAACTGAATCGCTCATGGAAATATGTATCTGGTTGCTTTTGCACATATGGCCGCTGTTGGATATCCGATTCGGTATCTAAGTATCTCAGGTTGAAGTCTGCACTATGATGACGTCTCGACCTTAGATGCGGCAGTTCGCCAGCATTTGCCTTATTAATCATCGCTATGAAATTTAATCTGCGGTGAGCCAGTGCTTATCTGCAATAATTGGTGCACCAACAATCAATTGTCACTCTGATGAGTCAACTAAACCATTGATTTGAGGAATTGTTTTGTTTTTTTCAGGCCTCTAACGCTTTGCTTATCTGTCAAATGTAAACAAAGGAACCCTTGAGATCGACCAGATTACGGCAGATAGCTTCAGTGCTGTCCAAACCGTAATTACTGAGGCAACGCATGTGACGGAGTTTGCAGCTGCAATACGTGACCTGAGCCGTAATAAATACCAGGTATCAGAGGGAAAATGCATGATGAAAGTAGTTGCGGGCGGATTGTCGATACACACGAACATTAAGTGCACTGAGAGAAATACAGCAAGTTGATAGTTTCTTATGCACAGAATGTGTCATACACATGAAGCCGATATTGGGGTCACCTAATCTCTTCCGGGCACTGAAATATCTCTTACTTTTATAAAAGAAAAATATTGAACTAATATACTAATTTATTTGAACTTTATAAAGTTAGCTGGGTTTCTGGAAGACCTTTTAAAGCGATTTTGCGATTTGGTTTGATATTAAAGTTAAGCTGAATTTTAATAGGGTGAAAGGGTCTAATTAATTTGGGTATTAAACACAGATTGCCCTTACCTACAATCTCTAGAAACGCAGACATTGTAGTTATTGAACATATTTTTAAAGGTTATAAGGTTAATGTAAAGCATAGTTATTAAGTACTCAAACATATGTACATTTACCATCAAAAATTGTTACTATAGAAATGTTTTTCCCCAGTGTGGCAATTGCTTATGCGAAGTCAGGGGCTTGTGAAAGGTTAGTTTCGGACAATGGGCGCGGGATTTGGAAACTTCCGCAGTGGCGATGGACGATGGCCAAAACCCCCTACGATTGTGGTTCAATTTGATCAGCTGACGCAGCAGCGGCCAATCAGCCTCATTGACGTCACAGGCGGGGAAAGTGCAGAGTTGGCTCGCCTCGAATCGTAAAGTTTTGCAGTCATTGGCTGATTGATTTTTCCCCTGAGTGACACTGAGCGGGGTCAAAAGTGTTTCGCACAATTCGCCGGATTGCATGCGTGGGTGTAACTGGGTGTATACACCCACGAAATGTCAAAGGGTCTTCCATGCACTTACCAAATGCCACAATCCGATCATCAAGGTGGCCGTGTGGACATGCAGGCCGAAGCAGCAGGTAAACTCCTTCAGGTGCCGATTTCCGGTGCTGCTGCTTCCGGTGGCCCCATTGTTGTTGTTGTTGCTGTGGAGCTGGTTGCGTTGCGGACCCATTTTGAGATGGATCCTGAACATTGCACGCCCCACGAAACAGCGACTGCGGAAAATAGGTGCGAAAGGAAAGCGATAACGATAACGAGTGCAGAAACCATCAGTAATTGTGGGTGTTTTTATTCCTCCCACGGGTGTGTGGGTGTGTGCGTGTGTGTGTGCATCTGAGTGTGTATTTGTTTTTGTGTGCCACTTTTCACGGCTGCCACTTTGACCTTTTGCACAGCCAATTCGGCAATTGTTTTGGCCCCACTCGGTGGACGTACCTTCGGTTTGCGGGCCTATGCAACCTTTCAATTCTGATTTGTACCCGCAGTTTGGCTTTTTTTGCCTCCGAATGTATTCAATTTAATTTAACTGCTGCGCAGCAAAGAAAACTCAAGAACACTAATATCTTGCTAGTAGCAAAATACCGCGGGACGAGGTCACACTATGTATGATCGTTTTGCAACACTGATTGCGTTTATACGAGCCATGTTCGTGAAGATGGGTTACCACTAGTTCGTAAAATACATATCTCTTATGTTCTACACGTAAGAAAATTACATTTACAAAATGCTGTGTTTGGTGATGCCTTAATTCTATGTTCCCACTAATTAACTGATTTTTAAGTCCTTAAAATACAAATATGATGCAAAAGTAAAAGTCTTGATAGAATTTTTGAACAGTAATTGAGTAATGTTACTTCTGAAAGGGAACCCCACGTACAAACAACACGAAATAAAGAAGCGTCGAAGTAAACCAAAATTAACCGATTCTTCAGGAAAACCCATTCCAATGTATATTTATTACTTATATTACTCACACACAAAATCACAAAAAATTACGCAATTCCGCTGTAATCTAAATTTGTCTAGTTCCTTCGTTCAGAGTCAAGATAATTGATTACATTTTCTAAAAGTTTCGACATTTTCGATTTCAAATATACCGTTCTCCCGGAATCGTGTCCACCGCAAGGCACGTGAAATTGATAGAGGTCCGACAGTTTGGTTGTTTGCTGCGTTAGTACTTAAAGACCTAAGAGGTAATGTACTTAAATACCTAAAAAATAAAATTGTCCTTATAAAAAAATTTCAGAAATTCAGAATTACTGAAATTTCAGATAGTTAGTTAGTATGGAACAGTTGATAAATAGCTGATTAAAATTCGACAATAGATTTGTTATATTTTAAGAGTATATTTTTTATATTAAATCCATATTTTATTGATGTCTCGATTAAAGAATCGACATTTACCGTTGCTTGCATCTATAACTTTTGTAAAACGATGTTCATGTTGCTCAAAAGTTACGGCATATCCGGTTACAAGCTTTTTGTATTCAGCAAAACATAAGTGCCAAGCTGGCTTTTTTACAAATATTTCTTATTTAACAGTATTTTAAGGGGATTTAGTTTATGAAAAAATAGAATTTACCGAGATTAAAATTCATTTCTTCTGTTTGATTTTAAATTCCTACATGTTTGTGCATTACTTTAAAAAAAAATTACAACAAAGTTTTTAAAATATTTCGACATTTATTTTGAGAAACCATACATGTTTGGTAACAAATTCAAAATGGCTTAAAAAAAAAAAAATGTTTAACACCACATGATCCACATAATTATATTACCCAAATGCATGCAAGTTGAAAAGTGGCGCCCCATTTCTACAGCATGACCGTTTTCAAAGTGTTTGGTATATTTGATTAATAACAAACAAGTACCGCGGTCACACTGTCGGAGAGCCTGAACTGAACTGCAGCAAAACAGAGATTAATTTGTCAGCGAACGGAATTGGAATGGTTCAAATCGCACGGTTATCCATACTCGCGTAGAATTTTAGAAGGTGTTTGTTTTATTTTTTGGTAACCAAGCTAGTGGACGCGGAGTGCAATTGCAGTTACATAAAATTGCAAACTGTAACTGCATATTTACAGTAAGTTTCGATTATCAGCTCCCCTTTGTGTACCTTGTTTCCTTCAGATTTGCGTCGTTCATTAGCGCTCTCTCTCGGTTCCTCCTTCCTCTCTCTTCTTTGCCTTCCATCCCTCCCCCTCTCTGTTTTCCCAACTTCTTCACCCACCGAATTCACTTTTGTTTGCTATTTATAGCTTTAGATTAACTGCACTCCGCAGCCAGGAAAATGGGGAGAAAAGTGTGAAATAATTGGTAGTCCGTTTTCATATCTGTGGACTCGCTGTTATCAGGGCCAAACAGCCAATCGTAAATAGTGCGAATAAACATGCTTTTTTGCACTGCCAATCAGCTGATTTGCCATCATAAACCAGTGAGTGAGCGGTCTTGGCTTATCTGAATGTTTACCAAACGAGTTACCCAGTATAAACACATCTACACCGAATTCTGCTGTTCCCAATTTTCTAGCTGCGGTGGCTCTGTCGTCTAAGGCGACTGGAATTCCCTACCAAATTTCGTACGCGAGTTCGAGTCTCCGCCCATGCTTGTTGGCTTCTTTCGACGATCACCCACGTCATTTAGCCGTTAACTCCTTGGGCAACATTATCTTTTTTTTCAATCTTAATACATGTTTTTAAAAGAAAGAAAGCATTTCAATAGGCCTACTTTAAAAATAAACTCTATAACTTGGCGTGATATCATTCTTTCCAATATACACATGCTTACAGTAGATCTTCCATGTGAATGAATAGTATTTCTAAAACTACAATTAGCAACAGCATAATCAAACTCTTCGAAACCACTATACGGTTATTTCAATTCGGATATTGTCTTGAGTGATCCCCCACATCATCATTAATATGTTCTAAAACCAATAAATTAGAAGCAAAACTTTCTATATACTAATGACTAAAGAAAATAAGCTAAAACAATACCGTTCAATATAATAGTTTGGTTTAGGGAAGTACAGTGAACTATTATACTAAACTTGGTAAACGTTCTTATTGTGTGGATACACTTCGGTTATTTTTCTTTCAAAATTGTGTTCTCCACGCAATTATCTTTCATTTCTTTATAGCGACTAGTGGAAAATCGAGTTATACTTTGAAGTCCGCCTGTAGTTGGTGGTCTTTTGTCCCACCCCCTTTTGTTTGTTCCTCTCTTTACCTCTAATTCTCTTTGCTCTCTGGCTTCAACTGGTGACGTAATTTAAAGCGCTGCAATCGTCTTGTTTTGGTCTTATAAGAAATACACGATGAGGAACCGGTTTCGAATAGTTTACTTTTGTTTTCGGAACTGCGCCACACCAAAACAAACCCGCCATCTGCTGGTGGACCCCCAAACAACCTTTCCCCAACTGGACTCAATAATCTTTATTTCAAGATGGATCCGAGTCTGAATAGATAATTATAATGATCGGCCGAGTATTATCGAGCCTGTCTGTCTGGTCGTCCATATCAATGAGGTGACGAAAGCGTTCGTTCATTGTTAATGGGCAGCAGCAACAACATATGTATATGCACACTGTAGCTTCCGTCGCGGCCTTGACACGGTTACAACATCCCGCCCAGCTCCAGCAATTGGCGGCAAAGCATAAACAAAGCATAAAACGCGCATGGAATCGATCTCGTTTGATCTCATTCTAATTATAGAGTCCCGCCGCTTTGATACTACCAAAAAATGTTCGTGACTACACTGCGGATCATGTATTTAAGGCCGCGTGGAAATAGTATAATTTATGGGCAGCACCTTTTTATTATATCGTAATTTCTATATTCGCTTTTTATATTGAGCATTTCTTTCTCCTATTTCAATATTTCGAATTAATACTCATCAAATAAGCTGGGTTTTATCTATAATCACTGCATATTAACATTCGAAAATCAGTTATGACAATTTATTATACAGAATTTAATTTTAAATAAATCTTTAAACTATAATTTTGTCTTATAAGTTATTACACCATGTATCTATGTACTATATATTACAACACTGTACAAACACGCATAGAATTTCTTTATTACTGAGTCATACAAATTAACACTCACGGGTCGTTACGTTAACAATTATATGACTGCTTTGAAATCTAAAAAATGATTATCTATCTATTGCCATCTACAAATATGCGTATCTTAAGTCTTATAGTCGAAGAGCCATCCGTTAAATTTAAAGCACAGAAATTATTTAGGCAATTAAGTCGTGTAATTACATAGTTAAACGTAAAATATTTATCTGTTGCAATCTAGCAATGCTTTTCAAGTTTTCCGAACCTCCTCGAACGGGAACTTGATTACAGCTGACTTATCACGCCTTAGATGTGTGATGTCATCACCATCATTGATGAATAGAAGCGCTTTCCCTTGGATTTAGGGCCCTAAAAGTCACCCACACGAATGTTCGCCCACCCGGGAAATGTTTCCCCACCGTTACAGCGGGTGGCGTTACAGTTTGGCGGAACGAAAGTGGGTCAACCGGTTCCATTTGGGACACTATCAACACGCAACCTGTCAGATCGATATAAAGCCCCCTATCTTTGTTGTTGACCCAAATCTGTTATGATAAACTAAATATAAACTAAATTTTGTGTACAAATTGTTTTCCTTTCAGATTGAGGAATCCTGCGCTGAGCCATGGGTCAGATCGTGGGCTCCATGCACATAAACGTAGCGGAGGTGTTCAGCAACCGGCGGAAACGGAAGCGAAGCACGGACTCCTCGCTGGGCAAGGATGAGCAGACCCAGCTAGACACCACGCAACCCAAGAAGTAAGTGGTTAAGTTTTTAGGACCAACCATTACAAAACATCTCCTCCCCCTCAGGAAAAAACTTCTTACCACCACCCAGTACATATACAAGGCGCTCTTTAAGGAGGAAAAGAACTCTGATGTGGCTGTCATGGCTCTGGATAAAGTGTGGCACCTGCACAAGGTCTACCTGAGCCAGAGCCCCTACTTCTACACAATGTTCAACGGGAGTTGGCGGGAGGCGCAACAGAACTTTATTCAGATCGCTATCCTCGACGAACGGATAACCGTGGCTAGCCTGGACGCTGTCTTTGGATCTATGTACTCCGATGAAATCGAGATTGAGTCAGCCGACGTGATCTCGGTCCTGGCCACGGCCACGCTCTTCCACTTGGACGGGATCATCGACAAGTGTGCCGAGGTGATGGTGGACAGCATCAGTCCGGAGACAGCCATCCAGTACTACGAGGCCGCCTGCCAATACGGTGTGGTTGCTGTAAAGAAGTCAACCTTCCAGTGGTTCCAGATTAACCTGCTTAGTATCTACAGTAAACAGCCGAATCTGCTGAGGCACATCTCTATCGAACTGATGAGTGCCCTGACCGCCAGCCCCGATTTGTATGTGATGCAGACAGAGTTCTCGCTTTACACATTACTGCGCACATGGATGTTTCTGTGCCTGCATCCCGACTACGACCCAGAGGACCCTGTGCAGAGGGCGGAAGCGGTGAAGGCGCAGGAGCGGTTGGTCAATGCCGGCGTGGAAACCCACACCCCCAGCGGAGATGTCGTCCAGTGGACGTACTTCACCAGCCGCATGGAGGAGCGTTCGTTCCTGGCAACACCCGAGGGGCAGCCATATATTAGGGTCTTCCAAAAGCTACGAACCCAGTACCTGACCAACCACTACATGGATCTGAAAATCATCTACAATGACAATATCATACCCAAGGAGTGGCTTTATCGGCACATCCACAACCACTGGGACGCCCTACTGCGGATCGATCACGGGCAAGAGGATTGGTGAGTGTTTTGAAGAGTTTGCCGGTACACGGAAAAGACTAATAACTAAAATCTGTATTGTGTTTCGATCTTACAGCAGTCCCCAGCAGCTGGACGACGAGCAGTTCTTTGAGAGTTGCATGCGATGTGGTCGTATGTTGCTAGAGCCTGGCTACCAGAAGTGGCGCTGGACGGGCTTCAACTACGGCATGGATCTCATACTTATAATGGACTCCCGAAGACTGAACATTCGTCGCCATCATCGGCACGAGCACGAGCGGGTGCTCAGCCTGCAGACGAAGCGCAAGTTCATGGTCCGCACCACAGTGACCTCGATAAACGCCCAGCGGCAGCCAATCTTCACTCAGACATCTGAAATCTGTTCCCTAAGCCTCGAGAAAAACGAGGAGGTACCGCTGATGGTGCTCGATCCGAAACTGGTTCACCCACTGCTAATCTCTATTAATATGCTGGTAGTGATGCCGCCAAACCAGAGCTTTAAGGAGATTGTTCCGCTCAGCGAGGAGGCGACAACGTCGCTGTCCATACCCATTTCAGAGATCGGAGCGAACAGCGAGCGACCGCTAACACCGTCCAGTGCCGATGATTCGGCAGTCTTCATCGGCGACTCGGAGCCGACAACGCCATCCTCACCGGCTCCACGGCCGAGGATAGTTTGGCCGGTCGGCGAGACGGAGGGCATATGCGGCCAATTGGCGTGCTGAGCACGATCATCGAAGCAGTCCACCATTACCAGTACCACCACTACCACCATTTTTTGTTCATTTACCCGCTACGGCCGGTACTCGTTGTAGTTCTAATTGTAAATTCGTTTTTCGCCATCGCGATTAGCTGCGGCTAATCAATCTTATCTAGAAGTTTGTACATTGAGCATGAGCATATCCGCGATCGTGTTGGTATGCGCAAATCTATATTTTTGTATATCGTTTACATCATTAGTATCTTGTAATAACGCTTAACGTCATCTACTTGTTTATGGTAGACGCACGCTCCAGTGCCCTCGCACAATGTAGATGTTGCATGTAGTTTGTAAATTCGGAGTTTTAAGATTGATTGTTATGTTTAAGTAACAAGAACGCGGTAAAGAAACTTTGGTTTAAGCGTCTTCGAATCCTGCAAGTTCAATGCATATGCTTACTGTCCCTAACACAGTTTTACTCGCTACATGTACGCACAGTAACTTATCTTGAGAGATCATTTATTAAAAATTACAATTAATTTAAAGCGTCCTGGTGTAGGTTTTGATTGTAGTGCACGTCTAGAAGACCGTTCAAAACGCATTGCTGCCAGGACTTGATGCCATTCATCAAAATCCAAAGTACCTGGGCTTGGTACTCTGCACCAGCAGCGGATTCCCGAAGTTTGTCCAGCACCCAGTTGACCTTTTTGCTTCGCGATCGAAACGTGTAGCTAAATCTCCGGGCAGCAGCGATGAAGGGTTTCTTCTCCTCAAGGCTCATACAATTCCATACCCGGCTGGCCATTAGAGTTACCTGTCCCAAGGGCAAGTGGCAGAGCCAAGCTCTGAAACATTTTCGGAAGTGGGCCAAGAACCGGAAGAACGGATTGCGTCCAATGCCATTGTGTTTCCCTATCGAATGCCCACTGATTGACGTCGTCTTCGAGACATGACCACAAGAAGCCGACCTTGCCCCACACTTTCTCTCTGAACGTACCATTTTGGCCAATAATTTTGAAACAGAATTTCATACGACAATCTGAAATATACTTGTATACATATATATTTGTATAACAATTAATTCAAAGTATATATCCAAGGTGGCTTAACAATTGAATTGCTTGCATTTAACAACAGAAAATTTGATTAAATTTAACTAGTTTCATACAGACACCAAACAAATTCGCATTGAGGGCTATTTATACGTGAATTGAGTACGGAATATTCGCCGGATGGGAATTCCGGTTCGAGGAATACGGTTTAGTAGTAAAAGAGTTCCGGGAAGTTCGTCTCGTAGATGGGCTTCTCGTTGCTAGCTTGCAACTGAGCGGCCTTGGTGTCGCTCTGCGTGATCTGACGTTCCACGGCCAGCGAGTTGAAGAGCTCGTTCAGGCGATTCTGGATGAGATCGTGCTGTAAATGGAAGAAAACCGTGATATTAACTTTTGTGTACGGATCAATAGTCATAGCTTTGTATTGTTAGGCCGATAACAGAATCGCGCCTAAAATTTAAGTTTAATATATCGAGCAACGTAAGGAGGTTCATGTTATTAAGAGAATCTACCGGCCAAATGACATTTACCAGATAAAACTACCTGGAAAAGCCCCACTCGAAGGGCGACTGGACAGTTATTTAAAGGCGCAAGGACTACATGAAAGGGTTTGGCGTTGCTTGCCAAGAATTCTTTATTGGTCTTTAGAGACTACAGTTGATGGCCTAAATTCGACCCTTCGAACTTTACTTTCAGCTTTGCGATGCTAATGGAAATTCTAGGTACGCTCCTTGGCGATAACCTGTGTGAAGCTGTTCATTCTGGCAGATGGTGGAAAGATACAAGCTGTGTGTAAAGGTATATATGTATATCACATACTAAGAAATAAACAGATTATAATAAGTTGCCACTTTAGGTCACAGCATGCTCAATGGAAATACTACAAAGATGGCCGAATGGAAATGGTCAGGAAACGGCATTTATTGGAGCCGGGATCGCTGACCTTCGTTCAAGTGATGATAAAACCAAAATGACGATGATAATGTGTGTTAAAATTGAATTTTAAATTAAAAGATTAGCCTTGAAATATATGTTATATCCTATCTATCAAACTACCCCACAGGGCACTTTACTCACCTTGGGTTCTGTGCGTCTCATCAGATCATCAAACTCGCCCTCGCGGAACGTGCGAACGATCTGCATCTGGCGCTCGCGCTGCTCCCGCTTGGCAGCCTCAGTTGGCTCAGCCAGTGCCCTCTTCATGGCATCGAAGTTGAACTCCGGTGCCAGGAGCTTCTTGCAAACGCCCGGCGAGCTGCTAACGCTGTCCACATCGCCGTTGTAGACGGTCAGATCCGCAGAGCTGTTGCGCTGAGTCAGCTGGTTGCTCACGGACTCTACCCAGGAGTGGCGATGGCCCGGGTGATCCGTCTGGTTAAGCGCGTACGGAGCTCCAGAGTTGAGCCTCTGGGCATCCATGCCCGCGTTCTGCAGGCACTCCCCCAGCGCTAACTTGTCTATGGCGAGATGGGGCAGCGCCAGATTCAAGGTCTTCCCGGACATCTTCTTGGGCTCAAGCAGAGGTGGTAGGAAGTGAGTGGCCTCCTCGCGCCGTGCATCCACAATCTTTTGAGCATACTCCAGTAGGTTGTTGATGCCACTTACCCGCGAGATGAGCACCAGCAGGCCGATGGAGATGGCGTGCAAGCTGCACTTGTGCACATTTCCCAAGGTGTCCACAGTGTTGGCCACCTGCTGGATTCTACAAGAGGAACCAATGAATTTAAAACACTTTATTAGTGTCTAGCCTATGAAACCTTACCCCAGAATAAACAGAAGAAATTCCTGCACGGTCTCGTTGCAAGACATCTCGACGATGAGCAGGGCGGCGGTATTATAACTGGAGGACAAGGCGTCAACCCGATCCGATAGCGCCATTGAATCGATCAGCGCCTGCATGATGTTGGCGCCGTATTTGTGCGTGAAAATAATGTCAGAACGCGATGGCGGCTCCTGGGAGAGCGCCGGGTATGGCTTCACACTGACGTTGCTGAGAACCTGCTCATTCTGGTGCCGATCGAGCAGAGCCTGCAAAATCTGCATCACAACCATGCGAGTGGGATTATGTGGCGCCCGGGCCATCTTAAGCAACGGCTGCAGGAAGGAGGCGGGGAAGGCCTTTTCGAAGGAGACGGTGCTGTACTGGGTTCCCACCTTAAGAAGCGACTTGAGCAGGATGTTCTGCAACATCTGGTCGCCCTTGCTCTTCTTTGATAAGTCCGGCACCGTGTTCATGATGAAGAGCATGATCTCGATCTTTTGGTAGTCGGGATGATGGTTTGCGAACTCGCCCAGCGCGTTAATCAGCGCCTCCTGGTACTGCGACTCCTCGGGTGTGATCTCGCTGGTAGTGCTCACACTAGTCCGCAGATGGGTCAGCAGGTTGTTGATAATGTCCAGAGCGGAGGGCCCGACACTCTCGCCCGCTGCTATGGCGATAATCTTTGACAGAACGACTGCCAACGAGGTGCGTGTCTTGGGAGACGACTTGAAGTTGTTGTCCAGATGCTGCATCAGGGTCTCCACCACGGTATACGAGTACTGCGGCTGTATGGAAATCATCACGATGCGGAATGTATGAATCGCAAACGTGTTGGGCACCCACAGCTCATGGCGGTCCAGGTGGCTGTAAATCAGGAAGAGTAAACCTCTGATTAGCAACGGGTAGCCATATTTCCGAGGGTGTTACTTACGTCAGCAACGGCTTCAGTACGCTGCGAATATGCCCGAAGGAGGCACGGCCCACCAGCTCACGGAGTACTTCCTCGGCCAAGGCCGGCGGCGTCACATTGGTGGCATCCTCAACGGGCGTTAGATCCCCGGACTGCAGTAATAAAAAATATATTAATATCAAGATCTGATTAGGTGGTCTTGGTGACTAATCAGCGTTCACTAATATGCTTATGTAATGGAACAATTCGATTCGATCATTACCGCCAGTAAATTTTTCTTCACGAACATAACGTTTACACAAAACTGTTTAGTTATTGTTGTGTGTTGGTTGTGTTGTGGTTGGTTTGGGTTTGGTTTGCATTAACAAAATACACGAAAACGAAATGCAAAATACATCGAAATTAGTACAATAATTGGCCAATGGGACAGAGAACTGGGATGGATGGCTGCATCCATCTCCGTACGGCTGGGCAGGGCGCAAAACCGAGTAACTACCCACCTGCATGTTGAAAAGGAGCGAGGGCACAATCTTCTCCATGTGCTCTGCCGCCCAGATGTTCTCCACCAGATCGTCGGACACTGTTTTCCTGATAACGCCCTGCAAGCCCTTGATTCCCGCGAGGCGCAGACTGTCCCGCATGCTGGCCGCATCGCTGTGGCACATCGAAGAGAACTTCGAAATGAAGAAGTCGTAACGCCGATGGTAGGACGGAGTGTCCTCGTTGATGTTGGCGAACTTCACAAACTGCAAGTATAGAGGTGTGAGTAAAGACTAGAATACTAGTAGCGTTTAAGTAGCGTCTTACCGAATTGGTGGCCATTATCTTCAGGTTGGGGTTCGAGTCCTCAAGCAGCTTCTGCACCATGCGCAGGAAGGATTCCACAAACAGATTGAGAGTGGTTTGGGCGTGACAGGCCTGAAGCAGCAGGTCCATGGCTTCCATGGCGATTTCGGCCAGCCTGGGGATCAACAAAGTGAGTTAGTCAAGAATAACTCCCTGGTCTCTGACCCACTTACTTGTAGCGCTTCCTGTTGATATCCTTAGTGGCCTTCTGGTAGAGGTACTCGCCAATCCGGTCGAGCTTGTCAGGCGAACTCAGTGAGTAGAAGGTCAGCTTCTCCATGTTGGACTTGACCAGCCCGTCTTCCGGATTCACCGGAAATATGTTGTCCACCAGGCGCTTGTAGCGCGGTCGGAGCGCCGAGCAGCATCCGCAGCAGCCTAGAAGAGCGCAGGTAAAGGCACAGCGGTTAGAGGGATTCGGCACGCAGACGTGGATGCAGCGGTAGGTGAACATGGCGCCACCGGTCCGCTGGTGAGAGTGATGGTGGTGGTGGTAGTGTGAAAACCGACTCGGGTCGAATGGGTGCGACCACCATTTTCCGCTTAATCTTATCGCGATAATTGCCCTAGTGGACTATAGTTTTGCTGTTTGAGTGATTGGACGGCTCATCGCTCGCTGGTTGATGGCTTCCGCCACCCGGGTCGCATCACCCTTTCTGCCCCTCCTAAACGCCACCCAACTCCAAGCCACTCCATCGATTTGTCGGTGTCGTCATTCCTGGCCAATTGGCTGGTGGCGAGGTCATCTGGCTCAATGGCCCGTGGCACGCTAAGCGAATGACACCTGTGCCCGCCGACAGCTTACCAGGCATTTTGGCGTCTTGCTCTTCTTGCGGTCTTTATCGCGGCATTAGATAATAAAAAGCTGCGATAAAAGAGCGCAGCTGGACTTTTCTTTTGTTTTCCTTTTGCGGGTGAGACACTCTCGGCTGACTTATCGATAGGCACGCGGTGTGACCATGTGAGGGTTGCATGCAAATACCATGTAGAGGGGGTGTAAGAGCACTGTCATACTGTAAAATATTAAATTCTAATTGGAAACTTGGAAACAATTTATACCCACTGTGCAGTATGCACTTGGAATCTTAGTGTTAAAGATGCAGTCAACTTCTCTAACTCAAAGAAAACTGTCAAGCAGTAGCGTTTAGTGTTTATCCGCAAATCCAATACTCATAACTTTAATTTCTGCTTCTTCCGCATCCGATTTAAATTCTATAAGTCGACTTTTTAAAGAGAATTGTCTATCTGCGCGTTAAAGTAGTAAGGTAATTTATGTTTTTATGAATGAGAAACCTTGTTTTTCTTTTGCAAAGTGTTTGGCTTGATAGTTAAAATTCTAAAGATTTGAGGAATTTTAATTAACTTCGGTGACGTGATTTAAGTACGTTTTAATTCAACAAAAGGCTTTTGTTTTAAGCAACATATCATTTTGACCCTATATCGGAAGTCTTTGTAACTCAAAGTTTTACCTGGCTGATGGAGGTTTGATCTATGAAACTTTAAAACTTACATAAAAACATGGTCCTTATTTTAAAATCTAAAATCCATGAGGGCCCCACGTTTTTATATTTGTGTTTCAATACATTCAAAGATTAGAAACTAAGAAATGATAAATTTCATAAAATTTAAACAATGCAGCGAGTTATTTAGTTCTGTAGTTCTTCATAATGGCGGATAAATCTGTAGCCTACCTGGGTTTTTAATTGAATATGAGAATAGAGTATGTTTAATTTCAGATATTAAATTTTTATTTATTTCTATCTATAGGTAATACATACATATACATACATATAAATGTATGTACTACAACTTCTGTGCCGGAATTCGTAGAAAACATAATAAATTAAAACTTAAAAAATATAAAATTTATGTTTTTTCTTACAGAAAAAGTTATTTCTTCTGGTGAATAGCACTTATTATAGATTTCTAACGATATCTTACGTTTAGGGATACTTACAACTAGGATCCGTGCACTTCTGCACGAAACTGTCGAAGAACTCTGGGAGTTCAGGCGGCTCAAAGCAGCAGCGAATCAGGGCCATTTTGGGATGCGAGTATCACGGATTGAATCTGCCCACTCCGCTCCAGGACGTTGACCATGAACTTTGACTATTTTTAGCGCGAAACTTTGTTCCTCCGTACAGGTTGTTGTTGCTCCAGGTCAGCTGATGGCGCGACTAACGGGACGAAAGCTCGGATTCACTGGCCAGGGAGCTTTTTTATGGCCATTGCGACCAGCTTATATCACAGGGGGCTTTACTTTTTGGCCTGGCCAAATGATGCCATTCGCACATCTTTGGAATGACACTGGGTTTTGAATATTAATTCAGCAACTAATACTTATAATCCTATGTCCGCTACTACAACTTTCGAAAGTCAACAGTCTTTACAAAAAATAATTGAATAATAAAGCCTACAAACTCGAGACAAATCAAACACAAACCGCACGCAGCGAGAACAACAAACAGAATGGAAAATGTGCTTAGTGAAAATGTGTTTTTCGCACTAAAGCTCCGCGCATTTTTGGGGTTTCCTCCACAAAGCTCCCCAGAGGCCATAAAGCAAAGCTTAGGGAATAAGTCGAGCTTTTCACATCCCGCTTTTCATTCATAAAATGCGTATTTCTGGGGGAATAGAGGAGGGGTGTCCGAAAATTCTCTGGCCTTCGCTAAGTTTACCGTTATGGGGCGCACAATTAAACACTCGAAGCAAAATGCAAAACGAACACTTGACAATTCAGGAGAAGTACACTGAAACAAACGGTACATTTGATTTGATAAATAAAAACTTCGGAGTTACAAGGAGTTTGCACTCTTATCACGCACTATACGTCATATTTTGTATGTACTGTAATTTAGTTAAATTAAATCAGGAATATTTATCAAAAAGTGATCAGTTATCTTTTTGTGTGTACTCAAAGAGCGCTTCACACGCCAGTATCGTGGGTTGACAACTTTATTAAACCGAAATGGGTTCCTTCGATTCGAAAGAGGGGTACGGGTTGGAAGGGCGGGGTGGACGTGCTTTATAGTTTCTTGACCGACGATGACGATCGATGATTTATTTGTATGTGCTGCTTATTTCTCTGACTTTTTGATTAATTACTGTGATATTCAAATATTCAAGTGTGTGGCTATAAACGCGCAAATGTATGAACATGTGAATACAGGGGGGATTCAAAAAGCAGAACCCGCTGTCAAAAAATATCATAGGCACCTTACAAGCTTTATAATTATTTAAATTAATTTTTATGAATATTTTAAAGTAACACCTAAAGGAAACTGTCAGAATCCATTTGAGGCATCTAACAATGCACACCTATAGGTGTTATAAGCCTATTATTTCTGTGAGACATTGGAAACACCTAAGTTATGTGTTTATGAATACCTCTAGAGCTGGGAAAATTATAATCAAAGTGATTGAAATATAAGCATTTAGCTTTGGAAAATATTAGAAACAGAAGAGGCACTCTATCTAAAAGATATTTCAGTGCTAAGTTCTGGGCATATTTTACGCTTTGTTTACTTTTGTGGCCAGGGATTAGCGCCTGGTCGGTCGTATCTATAAGATGAATTAATTAGTGCTCGGCTTTAATGACCAGTGATTGATGAGTGGGAGTGGCCCGGGGGGCGGGGGTCGGGGGAAGTGCGCGGATGAGCAGCTGGCAGAGGGTCACCGAACAGAAGCCAGAAGCCAGTGGAAACTGGTTGACAGTCGGAACAGGCAGGAACATCATTTTCATGTTGGCCAGCGCGTAGGAAAACATCCCAAGAATGTTTGGGCGATCTGGTTTCACTTGTTTTCGAGTGAGTACTCGAACCTTGATTTGATTCATATTCGCCAAACGAAAGACTCCAGAACACGAACTCGCTGTCGAGCGCTCTCCGCAAACACCGGCTACTTGTTGCTGCGCCACTTGTTAGCCCGCTTAAAGCTCGCTCTTTTGGGTCTCTCTGCTCGGAGCTTTGGCTGCGATCTTGGCCAAAACGCTGGACCTGGACTTCAGTCGGCTCTCAGACTTACTCGCGATCACTTGGTCCGGAGAAAAGCCCGCGATCCAGCTCAGAAAAAAAACGAAACTGCGTCGCGTTCGCCTCCACCAGCAGTAATTAATTACAAATATAAAAAACAAACGAACTGGCCAGCGCCCATCTGCCACAGAGGATATATCGCTCGATCCTCCATGCCAATACCATAAAAGTTAACAACCAACGACCATCGGCACGTCCATTCAACCGTTCAGCGAAACCCACGCAAAACGACACAAAATCTCAAACACAAATCGTGATAAATTTTCGCTAAATTGTGCAAACGTTTTCGACTAATTAAAATTTGACGTGCATACCAAAACTCCAACTTCGACAGCCTGAAAAGCGAAAAATATAAATTGCAAATAAGCAACATTTTCGCGACGACACTTGGCAAGTGAAATAATAAAAAATGAAAATATAAATAAATAAAAAGGGGAACGAAAGCCGCAAAAACGAACCCACATCAAATACAAAATATACGTAATTAGAACTGCGCAAATTACTTAGAACTGCAAAAACATTTGTTCTCCCCCACACTAACGCACGAGGAATGCTGTTTTGAGGTGAGTCGACGATCGCTTTGTACAGTAGAACCACCCTAAAACCGCAGCTAACGCCGTAGATGCTTTTGCCCTGATAACCAACTGAAACCGAATCGGATCTCCGGACCATCCATACTAAAACCCAAGCTTCTGAGAGATTCTTCCAGCGATACAGTACTCTTGAATAATTCAGCCTCGGATCGTAATCGCAGTAACGATCTGTAGTGGGCTTTAGGACCCCCGAAATGTGTCCCAGTTACACACTTATGTGGGTGGGTGTGTGACTGTTCCATATCCGTATATAGAATAGATTCGGCCAACGCATTAGCGCCGATTGTGAGTCAGAGCTACAGTTGGAGTTGCTGATTGATCCGCTCAACCTTTCGCCCGATCTGGTTAATTGGAAGTCGTTTTCGGGTTCAGCAAAGAAGATCTCTCGCCGTCTACTTTCTTTCGTTAATTCTTTGCCCCCTTTTTCCGAACTACATTAACATTTACTTTAACAAATACACTTAACAACCTTCGGCGGGGCTTTTGAATGGGGATGCAAATTAATAACCAATGGCCAATTCTAATGTTAATAAAAACTCAACCGAGTCCGCAAATGCGAGCGCCTTTATTGTTTTGGGCGGAAATAGAATTGCGAAGGCCTCTCCCAACAGAAAGCAAACATTTTTCAATGATGACTGCCCCGAGTTGAGTGAAAGTTTTCGCGTTTTCGAAACGAGAATCTTTGAGATCTGCCTACTCTCAGCAATCTATATATTGGTTCTTTCGAATTAGCATTGCAAATGCAGAGTCTACATTAGCTTTGCTTTTTAATACGATTAGGAATTTTATATTTATGGGTGTTGTGTGGTTTTTCTGCAAAATATACATAAGTAATTGGCCAGCATCGGCACGTTTATATTCAGGTTCAAAGCTATTCGTTATTCATTAGCAAATCAGAATCGAAATCCCTATCGCCAGGGAGTTAGTGCTCATTTCGAAGTAGTTTCGAGGCAGATATATTCTAAAGTCTGGAGATAAACCGAAAAAAATGGATCCGAAGAAAACGTTAACCTGGTTTTTTGGCCTGCCATCGGTGCGCTATTCCCAGATCGCTATCGTTATGGCGGGCGATCTGCTGGCCCTATCCAATCTGTATCCCAAGCACTCGAGGTACATTTCGAGTCCTTTTTTGCTGTGGCAGGATCTACAAGAGGAGGAGAGAAGCCGCCCGGACTAAGGCCATCTCACCAGTTCTAATACATTTATATTTTTTTATCTGCGTGGGAGACGTTTTATGGCCCCAAAGATTTGACCCAACCAACCTTGAGTTTCAATGCCAATGCCAGGCCCATGACGTCACTTGTATCTGGATGCTCGTTGCTGGTTAAATATACTTTATATTGTATGTATGCGTCGGTGTGTCTCTGTAGGTGCCTTGGTAAACACCTCGTTCTCGTTTTGTTAGCTGCAGCTCAGGACCCGAGAGCCTCGTGAGCCTCTTCAAATGCCCGGCCAAATTAACTCGACTCCTCATTAAAGTCCAAAAATTCGAAAGTTTCGACCGCCGTCGTCTGGAAATAAACGTCAATTTAAACGAAGCCTCCGATCGGGAGGGACGCACTCAGGGTGGGGGGTTGGTTGGCGGTTGAAAAAATTGAAAATTCTCAAAAAGCCGCTTTTGTTGATGTGGCCAAAAAAGGTCTACAGCCTTGCCTTGTATGCAGTCCTACGGCCTGTTTCATTTTCGTTTTTGGGAGTTGCGTTGCCTCCGTATTATCTTGTTTTCAGTTTCCAGCTCCGATATTTTCGCTCGGTTTTATTTTTTGTTTTTTAACTGCCGTTTTTGGTGTGCATGCGTCAAGGATGATTTGTATTTGTGCATAAGGCGATGCCAGCATTTCGATTTTCTGTATTCAATTTGTATTCGATTTCGTTTGTGACCCGGCCCGGGGAGCTTCCTGCTTTGAGTCAGTGTCCGTGTCCGGCTTTTAACACGTACACCTACATAGTAATTAGTCACCCAGATCAAAGACCGCCGCCGACAGAGTTCATTCTCGGAACTAATGCAACTGTTTGCTTAGCACCAACAAGCGTAGCTTGGTTCTTAGATAAGTCGGGGAAACGGGCTTACTACGTTTGTTTCAATACCGACCCAGTCACCATTTGTTTAAACATAAAAGACCCATCTGAGATAAAAATCTAATAAAGTGTGTTCTTGCAATGGTGTTAAGTCTCATGTTTACTTTTTTTAGGTCAGTTTCCTTAATTCTATTAACGCGAACTTAATTCTGTCAATACCCTTTGTTGGTATTTGTATTTCAGTGCTGAAAATCCACATTTATATATACTCTTAAGAGGGATTTATACCACTCGAAAAGGTCAATGTCATCGTTTGCATCTCTTCTGCTGAAGAATTCGCGCTCGTTTTTTATGAAGAAAAGTTGAAAAGAGGAGTCATTGTGTGGATATGCAGTTACAATTTATTAGTAATCAAAACCCACGAATATAAAATGAATCGCCAACCGACTTAATGCATTCAATGACCGCATATCAAATTCCAACAGAGCTTTTGTAAGGCCTAATTTAAGGATTGTATTAAACCACACATTTGATTCCCGACTCGACGTATTCGGCTTGGTTTCTATAACCCACTCCCTGGTGACCTTACGCGATCGATTGGAAGTGCGAAGCGCTCTTCGCAGCTCGCCGCACATTCACTTTGGCATCGTGCAGCTTTAATTGCCCATGGGGGTTCAACAGCCAAACAAAAGCGGGCAAAACTCACAAAATGGCTTTAAAAATCAATGTCTGTCAATGTCTGTGGCGCAATCGGCCTGAAAGCGCCGTCGATCGCTGATTGTTTAACTGTTGACTTAAGCGGCAGTGTTAACAAATTATTTGATTTGGTCGCATTTGATTTAAGAGCCCAAACATCGCCGGCTGGCATTGGGGCTCTTCGCCGGAAGTTGGATCGCGGGAATTGAATCAAATAAAGTCGGATCGGATCGGATCGGTCGAAACGGTATATGGCATACGACACTTCATAGAGCACTGCGGAAGTACTTGGGTCTCAATTGGGTTTATTTCTGCCTCTTTCCCCGCCAATCAGCGGCATTTGACACGCTCGTTTGGCTTAATTTGGTTTTTTCGGGGCCCAGGGTTCAGAGCCTGACCTTTCTGGGGGATATCAGGTGTCGCCGGGGCAAAAAGCAGGTGCAACTCGACGCCCTGGGAAACAGGTAAACGACAAAGGCAACGGCAACTCTGGGAAGCTGGAAGAGCCCTGATCCGAAATGTATTTGGGGCTCTTCTTTTTTGGGGTTCGAGAAGGCTTTCAATGAAGTCATTAAATTGATGTATTGGCCGATAGTTTCGCCCGTTTCGCTCTGTTTGGGGCGCTTTCATCTCCGAGCCAATTACGAATTTCTAAGAATCGGATCGCCCCCAAGACGTGGGCCGTTCATCATGATATCATTTGGCCGAGCGACACTGCTACATGCACATAAATTAGATGTAAAACGGGCCAGCTCAGTTTTTACTGAATCGATTATAGCCGAAATGTTAATGAGACGCGATTTGGTCTATGACGGGTCGTCATCATCATCATTGCCTTATCACGTACAGAGCGGCCCCATCTGAAGTGGACTGTGTTCGAGTGTCGTATTCAAAGCCAAGATTTGTAACGCTTTCATAACGCCATAAGTCCCGTACCCCCATCCACCCCCGAATTACCCAATGAGGGGCACAAAACATTGCCCACGAGCGTACGGAAAGGCCGTGTTGAAAGCGTACTTTGTATGCCAGTCCGACAAGTAAGCGACTTTGATTCGCGGTCAACAACATTGGGATCCAGGCAATGGAACCGAATCGAACTGCATATCAATGAACTCTGCTGGCCAGCAATCGAAGCCCCTGCGAAATCGAATCTAACGCGGATCAATTAAACGATCTGCGAACTGAAATTACCATAAATTACGATTTCAGCTACCGCTAGCCGGGCGGTCGGCATTAATTACCCCGGGAAAGTGAAACCATCCGGGGCTCTTATGCAAGGCGGAAGATGGCGCATGCACCGTTGGTTATGACATGCACTACAGACCCAAAGAAGGCAGCATTGGATTTGGCTAAAAACAGCCATCCAATCCAGCTCCCATCCCAGCCGGCATCGCGTGCAAGTTCGCCCTTTTCCCACTCAACGAGACACTCGATTTCCTTGGCTCCAGGCCGTTTTATTTTTTGGTTTTCTGACTCTGAGATGAGCTGGCTGACCTTTGCCACCGCGCTTGATTCGTTGCCGGAAACTTTTGACGCTGCCTCCTTTATTGATTTCCCAGGGAAGGCTTCGTGTTTCGTGGATTCTCTGGCCAATAATTGCGCACAATTGTTGGCGAGTTCAGCGATAACGAGCGAAGAATTCGACAGTCGGATGGGGGAATTCGGAGTGATGAGGAGCGAGGAGTGGCGCCAGGAGATGCCCCAAAAGTGAGAACGTTCCAAACAGGCGTGAGAGTTAAAACAATACTTTAAAATCATCGGAGCTTAATTTAAACACTTAAAAAGAAACACCCATCATAATAAAATCAGAATCAGGTCATTGACTTTTGGATGACACCAATATTTTACTAAATCAAAAGTAAAACCTTTTTGACCAAATCATTTTGAATACATCTACATATTTTGGTGTCTGGTCACCATCTCTCCATCTGATCGCGTTTTAAGCGATTATTGACTTATGATCGATCGATCGATCTGAACTCTCTACTGTCCAATCGCCGCGGCGCCTAATTGATTTCCGTGCAGGTTAGGAGTCGCACAGCCACCAGCTATGACATGGATAGAATCCATCGCTCCATCACCTCCGATATACTTACACTCCCAGGGCTAATTATGAGTTCGAAAAGTGAAATCTTTTGTCTTCTTTCCAGCCCTCCGGCAGTCTCAGGCCATTATTAATCATGCAAAAAATACCCAGACATGTAAGCGAAGAAATTGATTTACATTTTCGCTGGCTGGGAACAGCTTGCAATTATGCTATCGACACTTGCCACACGGCACGAAAAAGTTGCCACGTAATGCCACACAGATTAACCTTCTAACATACATAGTGGTCCCAGTCCGAGTGTGAGATACTAGCACAAAGGGAAGCTTCCTCGGATTCGGATACAGATACAGTTTAGCTGGCTAACAAAGCGTGAAAACGACAGCGGAGCGGCAACAAAAACGATGACGGACAATGTGACCAAGTTCGGCATTGGTGGGCAGAACCAGAGACGTGGGCCAAAGGGGTTAAAGAACGTTCACCCAAAAATATTTATACTTTTGGAATTCCAAAACGTTTACGTCAAATTTCAATATATTAAATACCGGTATCAATTGGTGATTCAATCTTTAAAATGTAGTCCAAAGATATTGAATCATTATTTATGATATTAAAAAAATATTTGGCTTATTGAGTAGTTTACTTATAACGAATATTCTTTTAAATGTGTCAGGTTTTATCTTAAAACCCGTATATTTCTAAACTCCAACCAAAGCTCTATTATACTTCCGACCCCCTCTTTGCCGCCCATGTGCGCGATTGTGAGTGGGCGCTGGACAATCGCCAGACAATCTCCGAGCGGGGAACTTGTCATCGTCATCATCTGGCGAATGCCACACGTACATAGATGCCCGCATAGATGTCTCTAAATGGGAGTAGCAATTACTAATTTCCTTAGTAAAGCGCTCGGCTCAAGGGGAATTTAGTTGTAAGACCTGACAATACCCACAACGCCAGTCGCCAGGGTCTCAGGCCAGCCAGTCGAGATCCAGACCATGCCAAACGCACTGGTATTGGCCTGGCCCAAACTCTCGATTCGCGATTCCCCATTCTCGATTTGCGACTCCTGGCCCAAACAAAGACAGCGCCGGCGCGTTCTTTGGCTGTCCACCCGTCTCGGACGTCTGGAGCACTGGGTATTGGGTATTGGGCATTGGGTATTGGGCATGGGTATTGGGTATTGGCCAGTCGGCCCGCTGAGGCAGCAGCGGCATTCACTCACAGATGCCTCGGCATAGATATCGAAATGCAATTAAGTATTTGCCAAAGTCGAAGACGCGAACGAGCGCCACCAACAAAGCGGCGGAGCGGCGAGGCACGCATGGAAAAATGTTTCCATCGCTAGACAACTTCCAGTTGGCCGGCTCCTCCGCTCCAGAGGGAGTAGGATCCAGAATTCAGCATTCCGGGGGCGGTGGGCAGAGGGGCGGACGGGGTGCTCTGATCTTTGCATAACATGGACTTTGAATGGCCACAGGGCTTGGCCATACTTACAAATTGGACTACACCTTCATTTTCACTTCTATGCGAAAGGCCGCGCTGGCTGGGACACTGCGGAAAAAGGGTAGGGAATCGGGTTAAATTTGAAAACAATAATATTTAAATGTAACTTTAGTTAGATTTGAACGTTGACTTTTCTTGGAACGTTTCGAAATTAAGTACTTATAATATTCTGCTTTATTGATTAGCTAAAGTTATAGAAGGTATTCGTACTTACTTGACAAAGATGAATTATGTTGTTGTTTCTAATTTTATCATTAGAAAAAGCATCTTAAAAAAAATATCATTAAAATAAAGTACAGTTAAATATTAACTACATCAAATAAATTGTATTTTAAACGCCTTATTACAATGGAATAAGATAGCGGAAAATTCTCAAGGAAATAAAACTTCTATTTTTTCAATGCTTTGCAATGAAAGGTTTTTACAGGAAGTATAAATATTTGTGGGAACACGAAGAATGTCTATATATGGAAACAAGAAGATACCATTAATTTTATGAAATATTACGTATGACCGTTTGGTGACGCAAAGTTGCAAACTATACTGTGCTCCTTAGTCGATGTCCAGTGATCGAACGAAGACTTGGGGCTTGTTTTAGGCCTGCTCTGTTCTCCCAGTGGACCTGGTCGATCTCCCTTGGCTGGCTGAACCCCAGAGGTCAGACCGACTCCGCGGCGCTGAGAACACACGCAAAGTGGGCAAAAGTCGAGGCGTTTTGTTTGCTTTGCTGCGCACTTTTGGTTTCACTTGACAGGGGCGGCGGTGCGGAGGGAATCGCCAGACTTGGGTGGAGTTCGGATTCGGATTCTGAGTCTG